TTTATATTTTAATTTTGATAACAAGTTGTCATATCTAAGAATTCATCACGAGGTATTGTAACACATTTCAATTATTATTTATCCCATTTACAATAATTATTACCAGTAAATCTCAAACATATATTAGAATTTCCTTGAACATCTTCACAACTAGCATAAAAAGGAGGAGATATTTAATATTATTAACTAATACATCGATGATTAATAGGATCATATTCAAAATATTTATCTATATTATAAACAGTTGTAGAAGCTTCAATTGCTAAACAAGCATATTTATTTAAAATTGAAGGTTCTTCTGTAAAGATTTTAAAATTAGATTGATTCTCAAAATTCACATTTTAGCATGCTATTCCATTAAAATAACACCATTATTAAGGTGACCATTCAATCAAATGACATGATTTCTTTCCCATCTATGAACAGCTGAATTAATTAGCATTGAAGTATTACTTGACTGCTTCTTCATTTGTAACATCAACCAAATTTTATGTCAATTCCTTACATCTGTAATTATCAAAATAACAATAAACATCTGCTTTATTCGTTAAACGACTACATGTATGACGATTTATTCCTATAAATCTGTTTTCTGTGCAACAACTTGTTCCACAAATTTCACTTCCATCCAAAACTTAACATGAAGAAGTTCCAGTGTTATATTTACAATATCCAACTGATTATTTTTCATTATAAGGAATAATATCTGGATTTTCCATGAACACTGATGCACAGACATTACTATTTACAATTTTGAAATCTGTGCATTTTTAATTTAGAGTAATTATTACTTCGCCACATTTATCTAACTTTTCTTTCCATTAACATAACTATCCTGGTTTAGTTATAAGCAAGCATATCTTTTTAGTTGGTGAACTTTAGATGCAATTTAAAAAATTTAAACCATTTTCTTATGTTTATACGTTATTATCCCCAGAATCTTAAGGAGATTTTTAAGTATTAAGTTTCTAGCATCCTTATAAACTTGTATCATAGTAACAGGAATCTTCTAATTAACTACATGCAAATGAATTCAAACCAGGAGAATCACAACTAAATTTTGATTTAACAGAATTAATGCATCCTTTAGCAGATTCTTCAAATCTACAAGGTTCTTAATTAAATTAAATCATAGCACAAGTTTATGCATTTGAAAATAACATTTCTTAACATGAAACATCTGAAATTTCTTTAGAATTATTAATTTTAACACATTCATTTTAATGCCATCTACAAGCTGTCTAAGGTTTTATTATACTAGCACAAAGTATTCTATTTAATCCTAATGATTTTTTTCCACAATCTATTGATGCTAAAAATGATTTTGGATTTATTGATAAATCCACATTTTTGCATTTTTATATTTACTCATCATAATAACAACCAGATTAAAGATTTTCTATTACTTAAGAACAAGAATTAGGATTTGCATGTCCTAAACCTTCACAATTAGTTTTAAATGGGAATACTGTAATTAGCATACAACCTTTATTAGTCCATTAACAAGTTTATTTATGTGTTGTTATACTTAAGCAACCAAAAAAATTTAAATAAGGTGAATTACAATAATCTTCTTTAGAACTTGGTACACATTTTTTTGAAGGGTAATCATATTTACAAGTAGCTTTATTTTTGGATATATTCTAACAAAATAAGCCATTATATTTAAATTAATTATTTTCTTAGCAATCATAATCTTAATTTATAAAAATTCGATCACATTTTATTCCATCCCATTTACAATATTAAAATTAAGTTTTTATACTAAGACAAGCATCTTCATTTAATAACATATCACATTAGAATATATTTAAATCTGCTTCTGTCAAAGTCTCACAAAGTCCCCTATAAAAAGTGCAATAATTATTTTTAATTAGCAAACATGCTTTTTGACTTAAACCTAAAGTAGAGCAATCCATATTCTTTAATTATTACAAAGATACTTCTTCGCAACTTTATGTTTCGCTTTTATATAAACACATACCATCATAGTTTTAACAAACATAATGATTAACATTAATTATTTAATTACATTGATAATTATTATTTAGATATATTCTACAATTCTTCCCAGTCCATTCACATTATTATTTATCCATAATTGAAGAAAGGCAAGCTTATCTATTTATATCTTAATTACAAGAATCTAATAAACTTACATCGACAGACTGACATTGATTATTTTTAAAAATGCCTTCTATAATTATATAGAATTACAAAATTGATTTTTAGTTGTAAGAAAGATGCACCCATTCTTATTTAAGCCTTTTTGAGAACAACCAAAAATCGAAAGCTGGTTCTCTTATACTGTTACGCATTCATAATTAGAAGCAAAACCTTGATTATGGTTTTTTCAATTACATTAAAACTTTTCTATTTTTGCACACATTCGATGAGATACTGCTTGTTAATAGTATGATTCACAACTGATTTTTTCTTAATCAAATATTTAAGGATGATACTCTTAACATTAGGTTGACCAAATACAATCTTTATTCACTACATTGAGGCAAGAAAATTTTGAAAAATTCTCACTACAACCTAAAGTTTTCAAATGAAAATTAGAAGCTTATATACATTTATTCTGATATAAACCTAAAACTCAAGTTTATTACTTACATCTAACTTCATTTTTTAGTTAATCAGTCAATTGTGCTTTGCAAGCATTTCTATTCAAATTATTAATACAGCCATAATCAGTATTTTAGAATTCAATACATTTTGTCTCAACATAGTTATATTAACCTGAAATTACTATTAATTTTACAATAAGCATCTAAAGTTTATTATACGCAAGAAATAGGGCTGAATGGATATAAACTACAACTATTTCCGGCTAAGCAACAAGATATCAAAGCATAAATAATCAGTTTAGTTTTCAATATATCTGTCATCATTAATTATTAATATTAAAATAGCATCATCCTTATCAATTTTTAGATCAGATGTTTTTGAAAAAAAAAACTTCGCCACTTAAGTAATTTTTTGTATTTATAAAATCTCTTATAAAATAGGGTATGCCTGCTTACATTCTATTGGCATTTGTATGTTATTTTTTTATGATAATGATATAGTATTTTTATTTAAAATTATAATAATCATTATTGTTATAAATCATAGAAAAAGAGTATTTTTAGTTTTTCATAATCTTGAATTGAATTTCTAGCAAATTCTTTCCACATTAATATTTTAAATGTAAAACTAAATATGAAAAAATGTAAAAATTATTTTCATGCATTTACTTTGAGTCATGAACTTTTATTAAAATAATTTCTCGATACTTAAAACTTCGTTCTATGATAAAAATAATTATAATGCATTTTTTGAAACTGCAAGATAAAGTTTATAAAAGGGTCTAATTTATTTAAAATGTTTATTACAAAATTTAAAATTTCAAAAAAAAATTCTCTTACTTAACTAGANATTACAAAATTGATTTTTAGTTGTAAGAAAGATGCACCCATTCTTATTTAAGCCTTTTTGAGAACAACCAAAAATCGAAAGCTGGTTCTCTTATACTGTTACGCATTCATAATTAGAAGCAAAACCTTGATTATGGTTTTTTCAATTACATTAAAACTTTTCTATTTTTGCACACATTCGATGAGATACTGCTTGTTAATAGTATGATTCACAACTGATTTTTTCTTAATCAAATATTTAAGGATGATACTCTTAACATTAGGTTGACCAAATACAATCTTTATTCACTACATTGAGGCAAGAAAATTTTGAAAAATTCTCACTACAACCTAAAGTTTTCAAATGAAAATTAGAAGCTTATATACATTTATTCTGATATAAACCTAAAACTCAAGTTTATTACTTACATCTAACTTCATTTTTTAGTTAATCAGTCAATTGTGCTTTGCAAGCATTTCTATTCAAATTATTAATACAGCCATAATCAGTATTTTAGAATTCAATACATTTTGTCTCAACATAGTTATATTAACCTGAAATTACTATTAATTTTACAATAAGCATCTAAAGTTTATTATACGCAAGAAATAGGGCTGAATGGATATAAACTACAACTATTTCCGGCTAAGCAACAAGATATCAAAGCATAAATAATCAGTTTAGTTTTCAATATATCTGTCATCATTAATTATTAATATTAAAATAGCATCATCCTTATCAATTTTTAGATCAGATGTTTTTGAAAAAAAAAACTTCGCCACTTAAGTAATTTTTTGTATTTATAAAATCTCTTATAAAATAGGGTATGCCTGCTTACATTCTATTGGCATTTGTATGTTATTTTTTTATGATAATGATATAGTATTTTTATTTAAAATTATAATAATCATTATTGTTATAAATCATAGAAAAAGAGTATTTTTAGTTTTTCATAATCTTGAATTGAATTTCTAGCAAATTCTTTCCACATTAATATTTTAAATGTAAAACTAAATATGAAAAAATGTAAAAATTATTTTCATGCATTTACTTTGAGTCATGAACTTTTATTAAAATAATTTCTCGATACTTAAAACTTCGTTCTATGATAAAAATAATTATAATGCATTTTTTGAAACTGCAAGATAAAGTTTATAAAAGGGTCTAATTTATTTAAAATGTTTATTACAAAATTTAAAATTTCAAAAAAAAATTCTCTTACTTAACTAGATACCTATAAAATGCAGTGATTATTTTAATGGAATTAATTAAAGACTTGAATATGTTGTGATAAATCTTAATAACGATTACTATAACTTATGAATATAAATTTATTGATGATAAGTTACTCTCCCACTGTAGATATGACTAAAAACTAGTTAATTCGAAATTTCAACTACAATATTAAGAATTTTCTACAAAATCATTTTTATTGTAAGGTCATCCCACCACAATAGCAAACCTAATTTTTGTTTTTTAATTTATATATTTTATCTTAAATAGACTGCTGTAATAAAAATTATTTAATTTATGAATGTTTGGATATTAAAAAAAATATAAACTCAATAACTTTAAAATATCAACCTCCAAAAAATAAAATGTAAAAAAAAATTTACATAATATCCTTTTAAATATTATGCTGCTATAGCGTTTGTAGCATATATCCATAAGATCCTATAACTTGTGTCTAATAAACAAGAGATAATAAATGTAATTGAAATAATTTTATAAAGGCATGTACAATGAATTTCTAAATTAATGTGTTGAGACTAAGAACTAAAATTTAGGCTGTTCAAATAATCTAAATAGAAATGCTTGTATTAACCAACTAACTTTTGGTGGAAATATTGAGAAGAAATGTAGAATATAAATTAATAATAGGTATATTTTAGGCTCGATGTACAGAAGTAAAAATATTTCACCTGAAAAACTTAGGTTGCAATAACTCATATTCAAAATATGCTTGCTTAAGTGTAATAAATGTTGATTGTTTTTGGAATGAAAGTTGTGAAGATTCTTCAAGAATATCATTTTCAGATGAAACTTAAGAAATATATCAATATCCCGTTACTCCTTAATTATGTGCAAAATATTAAAAATATCCATGTAAAAGATACAAAATAATTAAGGCATGAACAATGGACTAAAAGGAGATTATAGATGTGTTACTATATATGAAAAGTAATTTAAAGAATTAAAATGCTCAGCTTTAGGTTTGAATGAATTAGGTTGTAGATCAATAATAACAGAATAGGAAATGTGTAATTTTTTTAATTATAGGTCTAGGTTTCTTTGATAATTATTAATGTAAGAATGTCAACATTTTCGCAATAATAGATTGCTCTTAAAAATTAAATAAACTAGCTTGTTTATCCATTACAAAACAAAATTTAACTTGTGAATGGTAAAATGGATAATGTTAACCTTATATGATAAAGGAAAAAATTTAATGCCAAGATATTATTAATGTCAATGTCAATGTTTGTGCTAAATAAGAAGGTCTTTGTATGTTTGAAGGAACAAGCTTCAAATGTACAGAATTAAAGTATAATTAGTTAGAAAATTTGGATTGTGATACCCCAGGAATAACAAAACTTACATGTTTGTCTATTAAAAATAAATTATGTATTTTTTACTAAGGCTAATGTCAAACTTTATAAGATAAAAACCTGAATTAATATCAATGTTCAATGTAATTAAATTAAGCAGCCTGTATTAATATAACAACAAAAGGTTAATATTGTCTATGGGATGGAAAAGAATGTTAAAATGTTGAAATTAATCAAGATTTAGATTGTCATTTGTTTGATAAATTTTAAGTAAATGGTAATGTCTGCCAAGCAATAATAAAACCAAATTAATTATGTAAATATAATGAAATAACGAAAATTTGTGTTGAAAGCTCATCAAATGATTACTGTATTACACCATATTTAAATTTATTTGGATGTGTTGGTATAATTAGGGAAGGTTAAACTTGTAAATGGGTAGATTCAGTTTGTTAACAAGTTGTAATAATTCCATTTGAAACAACTTGCAGCAGCTTAAAATATGCAAATTATTAAGCCTGCTCCCAAAGCTTTGAAAGTCTTAATATTGGTTGCTATTTTGATGATTAAATATCTCAATGTGTAGCTTTATAAATTAACAACAAAAATTTAGAGGAAAAATAAAAAGCTGATTAATTTTTAGCATCAGTGACTTGTTTTAATAAATCTTTAGGATTAAATAAAACTATTTGTGGTGCAATAACAACAGATAATACTTTTTGTAGATGGCATCAAAATATTTGTAAACCAGTAGAAAAAAATGATATTTTAAATGTCCCTTGTATTGATTTAAAGTTTGCAAATCAATACACTTGTGCTTTAACAAAATATAATAATGAATTCTGTAGATATTTTAGAGATGAAAATGGATGTATTAATTAATTGAATTAAGAATTGAGATGCCTTGATCCTGGGCTTAATATAATAAGTTGTACATAAGCAAAAGATAATTGTTACTTTGAGAATAATAGATGCAGAAATCTTGGAGAAATTTCATCTTAAATAAATCCTGCTGATTAAATCATTTTATAGAATTTAGAGTGCTTAGCTAATTCTCCAACTAAACCAGTTTGTTTAGCAATCTTAACTAAAGGTTAATTGTGTTAGTGGTCTAATAAAAATCAACAATGTTCTGAAATTTTAATACTTCCAAATAAAAGATGCTCCGATTTTTAATCTTTTTAAGTTAATGCTAATGTTTGTGCTTCAATTATAATGGATAATCCAAATAATATCATATTAAATAAAGAATAATCTTTTGAAGAGTGGAATCCTGGTTTTTGTGAATATGATAGATCTAAGAACAATTGCAAGGTCAAAGAGAAGGATTGTACTGATAAATGTTGTACATCAAATGAAGAAATAGGAATAAATGCACATTCATGTAGCAGATTCTCTAGTCAAGAACCTGGAATATATTGTTATTTTAAAAACTATAGATGTTAAGAACTAACAAATTTAGATGTGGATATAACTGATCCTTTTAGTGTAAAGATTTACTATAATGTAAATTAATTCACATGTGCTCAAATGAATAAGAATTCTTGTCATATGATAGAATGGTCGATTACTTAAACTTGTTATTATAATGGATATGCTTGTGTAAGTTTGGACATGAAAGATTAGAAGGACTTAATAGAATTTACAAAACCTTCTGCTATTCTAAATGTTTGGGCTTGCTTATCTATTGAAGCAATCAATAGTGAAGATCCATCTAAAAAATATTTTGTGTATAATCAGTAAGGCAGAAACTGTAAGCTATTACAGAAACTAGAGCCAGAAAATGAATATCCAAAATATAATATCTGTGAAAATGTAATAGGAAATTCAAATATTTGCTTGGGTCTTACACCTAATCTATATTGTAAATGGGATAAGATTAAACTAAAATGTGTTACAATAACATAAGATTAATAGTAGGAAATTGTAGATTGTAATTCATATCAAAATATAAGATCTTGTATAGAAAATCAATATTCAGCTTGCTAATTTTCTCTTGAATTAGATAAATGTATTGATGCACCTTTAAATTAAGAATGCTCTTATTTTAATAATACAGGCTAAGTAAGCCAGAAGACATGTTCTCTAATTAATAAACAAGGTTAAATATGTGAATTTAAGGATAACTATTGCGTTAGTTCTTTTTAAGCAGTTTAAGGCTGTAATTTAAATGGAATTAATAAAAGAGGTTGCTTTAAAAATACGAAAGGAAATTGCAGATGGGATGATTAATCTGGTAATTGTTATGAGAATAGAACAGCTTTAGAAGAATTAGAATGTAATAGCAATCTTAATTAAATTTTATGTATGAAGGTGACTAAGTAACCTTGCATGTGGAATGAAAATCATTTTTAATGTGTTTATTTTAATTAGATGACTCATGATTAATATTAACAATAAAATCCTGATAATTAATATAATGAATGGGCTTGTACTTTAATTATTGGTTTAGGTTACACTTATGATGCTTAAAATCATAAATGTAAATTATTAAAAGATAAAGATAATTATCGATGTTAAGATATTTAAATGAATAATTATGCTTGTTAATTTTTAACAAAAGGTAATAAGTGTTATTTTGATAATAATGAAATTCCTCCAAAAAAGAAATGTAAGATATTCGATATGGATTAAAGTATTTGTACCACTAATATTGCTATAAATATTGATGTTTGTATGGATATACCGAAATCATGTAAATTCTCTGTTAAGACTTTAACTTGTTAGGCATTAATAGTGAAAGAAGAAGAAACTTGTTTAGATTTATAAAATTTTAAAATGAGAGGGGAATATGTTAATAAATTAGGATGTTCTTCTATATCCGATACGATTGAAGGTAATGATGGAGATTTACAATGCTTTGAAACTGATGAATTTAAATAATAATGTAATTATTTAAAATTCTGTTTATGGAAAGATTATACATGCAAAGTTAGCTAACAATAAATACATGTATTTGATAAAATGCATTATGAAATTAGCAATTAATCATTTTGGATGTTTTAGACACATAATTGTACAAATGAAACTCTATGTGGATTTTATGTAAAATAGGAAGAAAGTTAAGAAAATAATACAAAATATCCTGGTATAACGGGTAATTTAACTTGTGGAGATGGAAGATGTGATTACACAAATGAAAGATGTTCTTAAAATGATGATTGCTTAGAGATATATATTGAAAGTTTGAAAATTATGGAAAACGGATCAATTAAATAACCAGTTAGATAAAATTAAACCTGTTAATAATATTGTTTTTAATAACATTTGAAACAAAATTATACAGATAAACCTCCATTACAAGTCATATAGCCAGCTTAAACATAAAATTAAACTTGTAGAGGAATTTGTAGTAAAACAACTACACAAAGCTGTGATACTGCAGATTAATGTAATTTTAGTAATGAAATTAAAGAAGATTGTATATCTTATTCGTGTTCTTATAGCAAAGAATTTTGCAAAAATGATGATGATTGTAAACCTTATATTGCAATTTCTTGGAAAACTGTATAAGCTACATTAAATTAAAAAAAAGTTTATAAAATGATTGAAATATGTAAAGGTTTCTATTACCTTTAATTAAAATGCTAAAATATTTTTTCTAAAGCCCTTTGTCTTCAAATGACAAATTAATAATGTTATTTTGATTTAAATTAAGGAGGCTGCATTTAACTTGAGGGAAATGAACATAAAGTTCCAAATTGTAATAGTATTTTAAATACATAAATCCCTACTAATCAATGCGACAATTTTTCAAATATATGCAAATTCAGTGGCCAACCTAATAATGAATATAGAAACACTTGTCAAGCAGTATCTTAAAAATAATTACGTTGCAAGGATGATATAGAATAAAACGTTACAGATAGTACCTGTCCTTCAATTACTAGAAAGTTTAAAGGTTGCATCAATGAAATAAATAAATTAGAGCCTTATTTTTGTGCTAGCATAACTAATCATTCTATATTTACATGTGCAGGAGCTGCTGATAAATGCAGATTTTTTAAGGATAGTTGTATATCATATTTAGATAATAATCAATGCATTTGTGATAGGTCTTATAGTAAATCTTTATGTGAGGAATGTGAATGCGTTTATGATTTATTAGGATATTGTTAAAAGAATAATTTACCTCCATAAGAATTAAAGGATAAATCAAATAAATATTATTTGTGTTATGAAGTAAATTTATTAGCAACTGATCCAGAAAATATCAAAATAGCTTGTGGACTGGTCTAATAAGCTTGTAGATATTCTATGAAATGTGAAGATGCAACACATTATACTTGTGATTATCTTTTAAATTTTGTTGTTTCTCAAAAAGCTTGCACTAGATGTGAGGGATTATCAATGAAATATTATAAAACCTAATATTGTAAAATTTTGGATTTGGATATAGAATCTTGTTATTTATTAAATAGATAGGGATGCTTATAAAAAACAAAAGGAATAATGTGTAAATGGGAAGATTATGAATGCAAGGAAATAACATAAATAACAGGTTCTGATATAAGAGATTGTTCAATTTACAATAGAGAGGCTTGTATAGAATTTTAACATGATTGTTGGTTTGATTTGGATATTGGATATTGTACATAATTTGATCCAAATAAAGGGTCTTGCAATTTATTATTAAATGAAGATCTTTGTATATTTTCATTAAAAGAATCTTGCTTATGGGATTCTAATATTAAAATTTGTGTACAAAATGAAAAATAGGTTAGTGATTGTAAAGAATTAAATAAATATGGATGCTTAAATCAATAAATTTTATTATGTGTTTGGTCAGATTTATATAAATGTTTGGAGGCTGATTTTGATGAAAATGCTGATTCTTGTAAAAGTCCTATAAAAGAATTTAAAGAATCCTTTTAAAGGTCTTATGTAACACATTACAGCAAAAAAATATGTTCATCAATTAAGATTAATTTAAATTGTTTTTAAGATAATTATTATTAATGCAGAGAAACTATTGTTACTGATATTATTAAATGTGATAGTAATGGATTAAATAGATTTGGTTGTTTAAATAGATCATCTGGTAAATGTTAGTATGTAGATTAAGAATAATTATGTAAATACAATTTAAATGATCAAATAGGATGTTTAGATTCGTTAAATAAAGAAGCTTGTATCAGTTAAAAACTAACTTGTAAATTTGAGAAAAATATTTGTTCTTCTCTTTTATTAAAAAATATATCTGAAATATTAGATACAAATTAAACTTATTAATATTCAAAGAGTGTTTGTAGTTCATTAGATAATGATCATTTAGAAAGTTTAATATTTAGTGAAGTTTAAAAAAGATGTCTCTTAGTTTCATATAGATAACCTTTTATTGATTATTGTAATAAGTTTGTTATTAATAAGTATGCTTGTTTATAAAAGACAACATCACCTTGTGAATACAATAATTTAGATAAAACATGTTTTGCAACATCATAAGTCTTATTAAAAACACCTTTAAACTGTTTTACTGAAAAAGATATAAATTGGGTAACTTGTATATCATTATTTTCAAAATGCAAATTTATTAATAATAAATGTTAGGCAATTAATTCAAATGATAGTTGTGAATCTCTTTAAAATTAAAATGCAATTGTAAATGCATCAATTTGTGCTACTAGAACAGATAAAAAATGCAAATTAAATGTTAATTCTAATACTTGCGAAGTAATTCAAGATAATTTTTAATAATTAAATATTTAATCATATGTTTAATGTTCTACTCCTGGTTTAAATAAAATTGGATGCATATTTATAACTAAAGGTTACCAATGCAGATTTTCTAATAATTAATGTATTTTTGATTTTGGATAAGCACTTTGTAATGATTTTATAAATGAAGATAAATGTTATTCAATTAAAACTAAGGGACAATATTGCAAATTTGATGATAAAGGTTGTCAGTAAATTGATAATTAATAAGGAGAACTTTTTAAATGTAATCATTCCTTTAAAACCAATCCTATTACCTGCTCAATTAGCTAAGATATAGCATGCTATTATGATAAATTTAATAAAAAATGCATAGAATATTCTGATAATTACTAAGAAAATGTTTCTGTAAACTAAAATTGGGATAATAAAATTTCTTTTAATTTCTTAGCATGCCAAAAATATTCGATAGATGGTAAGAAAGTTTACTGGAAAATTTAAGATGAATAATAATAACCAATCAATGAATGTTATGAAGTCTAATAAATTGATTTGACAATGCTAAAGTGCAATGATCGATTAAATGAGTCTGCTTGTATTAATATTTAAACACCATTTTAATTTTGCAAATATGAAAATTATTTGTGTTAGTCAGTAAATCTGGATAATTTACGATAAAATTCTAATTGTAATCATTTTCAAAAAGTAAATAGTGGTGCTTTTTGTGAAATAACAAGTGATATTCCTTGTGAATTTAATATTTTTTAAAAAGCTTGCTAAGAAGTTCTACCAGAATCAAAAATAGATTGTGATTTTACTTAAACTTATAAGAAAGGATATAATGAAAAAGCTTGTGCCATGAACCCAACTGATTGCACTTTTGTTGGAGCATGTTATAAAAACATAGAATAATCAGTTGCTTTATGTTAAGATGTAAATTAAAATAAAATTAAACTTTGCAAATAAATTATTACATAAGGTTGTACTTTTTAATAAAATAATTGTAAAGCATTAATTAATAATGATTATAATTTTATAAAATGTGAGGAAGCAATAAATGCTTAAGGTTGTATTTAAATTTAAACTCCTGGATAAACTTGCTATTATAATAGCAAATTTGAGGAATGTTAATTCAAAGACTTAATGATTGATTTTAAAGCAAAATGTCAAGAAATGAATTAAATTAATTCATTTAAATTTTGTGAATAAACAACTGATAGACCATGCAAATATAATTTGCAAATGAATAAATGTGAAATAGCTACTGAAAATAATTATGATTGTCTTCGTGGACTAAACATATTTGCATGTTATAATTTAACTAATAAATTATATTAATGTAAATTCCTAGACTATTGTTATGGACCTAATAATAATATACTAGAATGTAATTCTAATTCTATTAATGATTGTTGTTTAATGGCACCAAATAAAGAAATTTGTTTGTTTCAAAAAAAATTTAAATGTTAATGGAATTAAGGATGCTAGAGTTATTAATAAATTAACTAAATAGATTGTAATTAAATTAAAAATGCTTCAGTTAATGTTTGCTCTTCTACAAAAAATCAATTTTGTGTATTTGATTCATAAACTTTTGCTTGTAAATAAATAATTCCCTAAAGTTGTGATGAAGTTTAAACTTTTGATTTATGCAATAGAATAACAAATTTCCCATGTGTTTGGAATGAAATCTAAGAAATTTGTACTTATAAAGAGAAAAATATCTTCGATGAGTGCAGAAACATTTAAAATTAAATTGGTAATCTAAAAGCTTGTACCATGATTGAAAAATTTGGCTAAAAATGTATATTCTTAAATAACAAATGCCAAACATTTTAGCAAAAAGAGGGTTTAAATAATTGCACAGATAATCTTAATATATTCTCTTGTTTATAATAAACAATTAGTGAATGCGAATGGATTATAAAAGAAGTAAACATAAAAAAGAAGAAATAAGAAATTCATTTTGAAAAGGAGCTAATTGGAGAATGCCAATAATTTATAGAATATGATTCAAGAGCCTGCAATATTTATCTTAGTTATAAATCGTGTATAAAAATTCGAAAGAATGAAGCATTCTGTGTTTGGTAAAATAATTAATGCTAGAAATTCTATATATCTAATTATATAAGTAATGAGAATAAAGTACTTTAATTAGTGTAAAATATTAATCCAACTGTTTGCGGATTATATAATGATGAAAGATTAATTTCTTATTCTGAAGAATTGAATTCTTGCATTGAAATAAAAGATGTTAGCATCTTGTCATGTGCTACTTCAAAATTTGGTTTAAATTTTTAATCTTGTATAAATATTTAAAATGAATTATGTAAGTGGAATAATATCGAGAAATTGTGTGAATTAATCAAAAAAGAAGGTACAAATTTTAAAATATCTTGTAATTTATCTGGTCTTAGCTCAAAGGCTTGTACATTAATTGAAGTAGATGAAAGTTGTGGATTTATTGGTAATGGTTGTGGCAAAGTTGATAGAAATGTTAATTGCAAACATTTAGGATTAAACAAATTTGGTTGCTTAAAAATTACAAATTATCCATGTGCTTGGATTAAGAATGAAGAAGATGAATATTATCATTGTGATGATTTTTAACCTTATGATTCTTGTAATGAAATTAAACTATAAGTCAATTCTATGGTATGCACTTTAGTTTAAGTTGATGCTTGCATTTACAATTCAGAAACTCTTAGTTGTTAGACTCCGTAAATATTACTATCTGATTGTGAAATTGAAGGCTTAAATTACATTGGATGTTCTCAAATTAAAGGATGTTATTTTGAGAATAATAAATGTTAGCCTATTTAATAATCCAGTTATAGTTGTCTCTAATTTCCTTTAGCTAATGAAGATATTTGTAAAAATGCTTATGATTAATGTAAATATAGTCCATTAAATTATGGGTGCATTCCTTCATAATCAAATGAAATATGTAAAGCTTAAGGTTTGAGTGAGACAGGATGTATTCATTCAAAAAGTAATTGTTTTTGGACTAATAATAATTGTTAATGTACCAGCATTTAAAATATTCTCCCAGATTGTTCATTAATTATTGAATCAGATAAATGCGAATAACACAATTAATGTATATATATTTATTAAAAAATTAATAATGATGAAATTAATTCATAAATTAAAACCTAAAACTTGGGAATTTGTAGAAGAAAAGTTTGTTCAGATATATCATAAAAAGAATGCTAAAATTACTAAATATTGAATGATTTTTGTTATTTAAGTACTGAAAATACATGTTTGTAGGCAAATAAATGTGAGGATGTTAAAAATTCATATCAATCATGCTCAAACTTAAATATTAATGGTATGCCTTGTATTGACAACTTCGATAAAACTTCTTGTAGACGCTTAATATGTTCAGAATTAAATTATGATATATGTAATTAATATTTGAATCATTGCGAATATCTAGATAAATGTTAAACGAAATAATGTTAAGATTTATAATAAGAATAAATTTGTAGATATTATAATTGTGAATGGGAGTAAAATAGACATAAATGTTCTAATAAATAACCATGTGATAATTATAAAACAGAAAAAAATTGTAATTAAAATTCTAGTAATTAAATTTAATGCATTTGGATTACAAATGAATAAGATAGCTTTTGTAGCGAACAAGGTTGTAGATATTTATCTTAGAATTCATACTGTAGAGGTTCATATATAAATAAAAATATTTGTGTCCAACTCAAAGATTACTCGTGTGTATAATGTGAGGAAATTAAAGATTTTTGTTTATGTGCTGAATAAGAGTATTGCAAATTTAATGAAATTTTGGGTTAATGCGAATCGATAAATTGTAATCTCTTTAAAAAAGAAAGTGATTGTTAATTATTTCCATTTTGCCTTTACAAAAATGAATAAAATGTAAATAAAAACATTAATTTAGATATGCCATTTTAACTGTATTTTTTTAGGTAATTAAGACGATTGTATTGAAAATAACCCAGTTTGTCACTGGAATCATGATACAAATATTTGTTATGAAATTTAATTAGAACATTCAATAATCTCAAATTCTGAGTTTATTGATATGGCTTTCCATATTTATGCTACAATTGTTTGGATGCTAATTTGACTCATCATATAAAATACATATTTTTATTCATTTCATTTATATAAATATTATTTTCAGAATTCCAAAATTAAAAAGAGTATCGTCAATCTCAAAACCAATTGATGAACATTAAAAATTTGAATATTGTTTTCTGGTTGTTTTTGAATTTTGGAGGCCTTGATTTAAATACATAATTATTAATCATAATTCCAATAACAGCTAAACTCATAAATATTGCATTATTTTGGATTGTAATTATTTTAACAAAATGGAATGCATACCTAAAAAAGATGAATTAATAAAAATACTTAATTGTTCAAATCAAATTAACATCTAGTAGAGGGACATGTTTCTTCATTAAAACTTTCACATGTAATAGACTTACACATATTATAAAAGCGATCATATTCACAAGAATCTTGATATAATAAACAAATACAAGGATCTATAATTTCTTCACAACTTACACAACTTGAATCTGATAAAGTAACACAAGCCTCTTCCCCTATTTAAGCTCCATTGCATAAAGAATATTTTATTTACAAATATCTACATCCAATATCTGTACAAAATTGATTCTCTCCTTCCTCCCCTATTAAAACACACTATTTTCCATTTTATTTACTATTCATACAAAACTCTTTATCAAGAGAAGCACATAATTTTGAATTGATGCAAACTTTATTCTATTTTTACCATTCACAATTTTTTTTAATACATTTCTTTTCTGTTGTGAAATATCGGCAATCTAATGTTTTACAAGCAGATTCGTAAAAACAATCATCTGTAAATTACAAGCAGGTATCCTTATCCAATATTTCACATTCTGGTGAAGCTATACAATTATTAGTATTATAGCCAATCAAACATTATTTATTTTTTATAATGTACTTCTAACAATCATTCATTGGTGAAATAATTTCTTCACATCTACTAGCTTACTTACATTCATTCTTAGAATTTATATAACAAATATCTGTATCAATTTATTGACTATCGCATTCATCTATTAAATAATAAGCACATGTTTTTCTCAGGCATTTTGCTAAATTTTAATTTATTATCTATTAAGTAATGTCAATAGCATATTAAGAATTAGATGCATAAATATAACAATAGTTTAAACTTTAGCATTTTTTTGAATCTTTAATCAAATCACATTCAGGATATTTAGTTATCATCGATTTGCATTAACATTTAGATATATTCCATTAGCATTCTATTAAATCATTACATCCAATCTAATTAATTCCTTTTGTAGAACATAAGTCCTACATTTCTGATGATATGCAACCATATCCTAAAATGTTATATTTACATCTGTTTTTTTCTATTTATGAGCAAACCTAATAATTTGAAAATAAAGCATCTTCACAGCTTAAGTTCATTGTTTTATCATATTTAACACAATTACCATTAAAAAAAACACAATTTTCTATAAAAGAGCATCCAATATTATTTATTCCTATTAAATTACATTAAGTTTGTGTTTGCTAAAGTAAAACACAATTATTTAAATTTTAATTATAAAAACATGGACCATCAATAATTTAAGTACATACAAAAGGGTTAACAAAATATTGATATCCTAAGCATGTATCAAAATCTTAGATAAATTTACATTCATAATTTTATAGTATATCATCATAAATCCATCCACAAGGATAATTTTTAATATTAAGACATGCATACTAATTTAATCCTGGATAATCACAAGATATTTAATTTAGATCAATTTAATCACAATAACTTCCAAAAAATCCACAAGGAAGTGGTATATATAATTTAGAACATACTTCAATATTAACATCTGTTAATTTGCAACTATCTTATGAATTTAGTTTTTTTGAATCAACAGATTCATTTTATTTTAGACATCTTTTTGTTATGTCATTCCATTTACATGGTTAACCTTTTACATGAAAACAGGCTTCTCTATTCATACCAGGTAAATCACATAAATTAATCTTTTATTATTGTATATTCTAACATTTAAAATTCTTAATATCACACATTGCATGAGAACCATCATTTATTATACCACAAGTATTACAATTTACTTAAGAAAAAGATCTTAGAGTAAATATTGAATTATTTTTAACGTCTTTACATTCATAATCTTCCCATTTACAAAAAATATTAGGTGTATTAATATTTAAGCAAGCTAAATAACTAAGATTAGAATTGCATTTAGAATTGGATTCTTAATTATATTCAAGACAAATGCCAAATTCAATTGTATCTTTTGATTTGCTTTGACTATATTTTTTAACTTCAACTTGATAAACATTCCAAAAACATTAATGGAATACTTACTTTAAGCAAGATTATCTATTTAATTGTTTCGAACAACCAATGTCTTAAGTTTGCACATATGTAATACATATTTAATCAAATATACACATTTGGCCTTATCTTTCAACATCCAAGCATGCTCTTTAACTTCCCCATTAATCTTATATATCTTAACATCCATCATTTGAATTTTTATCTTTAAATAAACATTATAATTTAACAATATCCCAATAACATGGCAAATCTTACAATTTATTACATTGTTCTTTTGTTTAAACTTAATCACATGTTTCTGGATTAATCTCTATACATTTTAACTAATCTATATCGAAAATGCAATTAGAGTTTTCTTTTTCATAACAAACTTTTCTAGAAACATTTGTTAATATTTCACAGGTTTAGTTTCCATACTATTCTGAAAATTCGGAACACTATTCATTTTGCCATTAACATGAAAATTAATCCTAAAATAAACAACTCTCAATCGTATTTGCTAATAAGCAACAATCATTAATGTGTGTAGATTTACAATTAAGAATATCATAATTAGGTCCATAACAATAATGATAAAATTAACATTATAAAGTTTATTTTGTAGAAGTCAAACATGCAATTTGATTTAAACCTCTAATACATGGTAAATAACTATCACTATTTGTTTATTCACATTTATATTCATAAGCATTAAATTAACAAGGGATATCAAAAGTGTTTTCACAAAATACATAACTATTAATTTACTATAAATTTAAACAATAACCATATGGACCCTCTATTTTGATGAATTTACAAATTTCACCTTCATACTTACAAAATTATTTTTTAGACGTAATATTTAAACATCCAATTTTATTTGCAGCTTAACTACATTATAATGTAGAATATTCATCAGAAGTAATCGCTAAGCATTATTTTTAATCAATTTTACAACCTTCTCTTTTTGCTTAATTACAATTGTCTTCTTAAAATTAATTACAAAATTTAATATTATTTGTTGCAGCAATTTAATAACATCCATCAATAAAATTACAATTTTATATATTTAATTTACATGCCTTCTTACTATATCCAACAGTACTTGGATTTTCATCAACACATTTAATGTTTTCTGGATTAATGTTTGGATCAACATCTTAACATGATTAGGTAGACTCTTTAAATTCACAAAGGTATACTTCATTTATTTAACAAAATATTCCAGAATTAATTTTCTGAATTAAATTGCATTAGGTTTATTTAAACTTATTTAAATCTTAAAATTGACATTTCTAATTTATAAACTAACAATATTAAAAAGGAGTTCTAATTTCTAAACATGTTTTTTCATTTACTTAATCATTACATTTTAATGTATTAATATCTGTTGAAACTATTTCAACACACTAATTTGTCCATTTTGTCTTTAAAAAAATAAGACTTTATTCTTAATCTAAGGAAGAATTAATATTTTTTTCAGAAAGTCTAAGGATATTATTTATTTAACATGCTTAAGAATTAAAAGATAAAAGATTAGAAATAAAAAAGTTTTGTCCTAAATTTGACTTTAATGGTGAGGATGGATTTTTAAACTCTTAACATTATTATTCAATAATATTATAATGACATGCAATATCTTAACTAGCTGAGCATGTAACAGGATTTGTTTTGAATTCATGATTGCATTTATTTAATTCCTAACGATTTGTAATTTACTGACAACCTTTATCATCAAATTTGCAATATTGTCCCTTAGTTTTAATTTAATAACATTTATCTTCATTTATAAAATCATTACAAAGTGCTTATCCAAAATCAAAAATACATTAATTATTAGAAAATCTGCATTGGTAACCTTTAGTTATAAATATGCATCCAATTTTATTTAAACCAGGAGTAGAACATTAAAGATATGATTAAATATTTAATTATTAAAAATTATCTTGAATTACTTCGCAAGTATTAGAATTAACATTTAATTTGCATTTTTTATCTGTTCTAGTAGCACAAATTGATGCATTTACAATTGCATTTTAATTTTAAAGAGATTCACAACTATCATTTGAATTAATTGCCTAACATTTATTATTAATAAATTTGCATTTTGAAAATAATGATATACAAGTTACCCAATTTATATCTTTTTCAGTAAAACAGTTTAAAGGTGTTTTTAATATGACTTATGATGTTGCAAAACATGTTTTATCTAAATTATTGTATTCGCAAGGTGATGTTGTTTTTTATAAACAAGCGTACTTATTACCAACAAATTTAGTACAATAATCAATAAAAGGTTATTTATGTGAAATTAAGAGACATCTTTTTTAAACTTCACTAAATATTAAACTTTCTAAATGATCATTATCTAATGAACTACAAACACTTTTTGAATATTAATAAGTTTAATTTGTATCTAATATTTCAGATAAATTCTTTAATGAAAGAGGAGAACAAGTATTTTTCTCAAATTTACAAGTTAGTTTTTAACTGTTACAAGCTTCTTCATTTAACGAATCTAAACATCCTATTTGATCATTTAAATTGTATTTACATAATTATTCTTAATCTACATACTAACATTTACCAGATGATCTATTTAAACAACCAAATCTATTTAATCCATTACTATCACATTTAATAATATCAGTAACAATAGTTTCTCTGCATTAATAATAATTATCTTAAAAACAATTTAAATTAATCTTAATTGATGAACATATTTTTTTGCTGTAATGTGTTACATAAGACCTTTAAAAGGATTCTTTAAATTCTTTTATAGGACTATCACAAGAATCAGCATTTTCATCAAAATCAGCCTCCAAACATTTATATAAATCTGACCAAACACATAATAAAATTTATTGATTTAAGCATCCATATTTATTTAATTCTTTACAATCACTAACCGATTTTTCATTTTGTACACAAATTTTAATATTAGAATCCCATAAGCAAGATTCTTTTAATGAAAACATGCAAAGATCTTCATTTAATAATAAATTACAAGACCCTTTATTTGGATCAAATTATGTACAATATCCAATATCCAAATCAAACCAACAATCATGTTAAAATTCTATACAAGCCTCTCTATTGTAAATTGAACAATCTCTTATATCAGAACCTGTTATTTATGTTATTTCCTTGCATTTATAATCTTCCCATTTACACATTATTCCTTTTGTTTTTTATAAGCATCCCTATCTATTTAATAAATCACATTTTTTTTAACTTAGAATAGCAAATCTACAAATATGATCATCAAGACTATATTAAGTGCTATACCCTTCACATTTAGTACATGCTTTGATACTTGTAATATATCCATTTAATTGTTCACAGGTATAATTAGTTGCATCTTCACAAATTTCATAAAATTTGCAAGCTTGTTCAACTAAAGCACATATACGTGATTTATCTGCGATATTTAGTAAATTGACTTCATAACATAAAAAGTATTTATTTGATTGATCTTGTTTAAGTTAAGGAACTTCTTACTATTGTTAACAATATCCAACAAAATCAAAAAAACAATTGCATTCTTCACAAAGTGATTTGCTGAAACTGGAATCACAAATACATTTGTTATTTTCATTTTTAGGAATAGTAGACACACAAGCAAAAGAGTGAAATCTACAATTATTAATAGCTGATGCACATAATGCAGGAGAAACATTATCAGTAAAAGATTCACATAAAAGACCTTCAGGTAGTTTTAATGGTTCACATATTTAAATTTATCTTTATAATGAATAACATGACTTTTAATTTGGAATTATTTCCATTTATCCAGCTTAGCAAATTACTTTTTTGTTTAAACTGTTTAAACAAGAATTTAGATTAGTTGATTCACATAAAGTACTATTTTTACATATTGGTTTTGTTGAATCACAATCCAAAGCTTCTTATTTAGGTTTACATCTACTTGATATTGCAGAACAATCAGGTATTTTATTTTCATTTCCTTTTAATTAAATACATCCTCCTTGATTTAAATCAAAAATACATTCTTCTAAGACTCCATACAAACAAAGAGCTTTAGAGTAAGTATTATTACATTTTAATGCAATGAAACCAAATCCTTTGCACAAGGGTTTTATTGTGAAGATATCTTTTTGTGCGCATTCAACAACTTTTGTTTCCCATCTTGGTTCAACATAATCAGGACAATCACTCTACCCACTGCAACTATTTTTACCTTAAGCGCATTTTTTATTTTAACATAAACTTTATTTAGTTTGATAGATACTTGTAGTTTCATTAAATACTTGAATTGAACCACACTCTTTATCTTGAATACATGGTTTGTTATCTTTAGATTAACTTTCACAAATTCCCACACATTTTTAACTTTAAACTTAAGAGGCTTTAATAATTTCTTATAATTATTATGTGTCATTTTAATTACAGATGATTTAATCTTGCTTTTAGCATTTAAAATTACAATCTTAATCAAGTTTTACTCCATCAATTTGTATTCCTTCTTCATTTATTGATTTAGAGATACTATATATTTTAAGACAATCAGATTTTGTTTTACAAGCTTTATTTTAATATTAACATCTTTTTTTAACACCACATTATAGAGAGGAAGGTGTTCCTTCTTTCCAAATATTTAAAAAATATTCCTCTGGTATTTTAACAGTTTAATTGCAATCATAATCTTCTTGACAATCATCATTTGAAAATTTATATTCATAAATATATCCTTTTACTGTATTTTCTCTATCAAAAAATAGTATATTTAACTCCTTTACCTTACATCCATATAATTAATTATCCCATTCACAAAATCTCTCTTAATTGCATTACTATATCTCATCTTATTCTTAATAACATTAATTTTTAGAATAAGGTTCAGTTCTAAGTTAACTTATAGAAGAACATGATAATTTATTATAATGATTACCAAAATTTAATTATGAATTTAAGGAAGAACAAGTTTAAGAGGAAGGTATTTCTGCAATTAAACATTATAATTTCAATTTAGAGAAATAACATTATTTTGGAATTTTCATACAAATTTCGATATTAATATTTTTAGAAGTCGTACATTGAGTTTATTCATCTGTAAATTATTAACAAGGAGGAGTTTTAGTTATATCATATACACATTAAGATCCTCTTGTTAAATATAGGCAAGCATAGTCATTAGTCATAGTTTCACAAGGATTATTTTTATTCGTATCTTAGACATAAGTGCACTTGTTATTTTTATCATCATACTTAATGCCAGCTCCTGAGATTTTTCTACATGCTCTCTCAGTATATAAATTATTTCTGTTCAATTTTTAAAAATCACTATATGATATACTTTAAAATAGTGAACAGTCAAATTTTGTATCATCCCATATACAAGCTTCTCTTGTTATTAATTTACATAAAGATTAATTCAGATTATCTTCACAACCTAATTCTGAAATATTCTATTATTTTGGAATTTCATAACATATAGAAGCTTCTTTACTCCATCTACATTTTCCTTTCGTATTTTTATAACATGTAAANATTTAGTTTGATAGATACTTGTAGTTTCATTAAATACTTGAATTGAACCACACTCTTTATCTTGAATACATGGTTTGTTATCTTTAGATTAACTTTCACAAATTCCCACACATTTTTAACTTTAAACTTAAGAGGCTTTAATAATTTCTTATAATTATTATGTGTCATTTTAATTACAGATGATTTAATCTTGCTTTTAGCATTTAAAATTACAATCTTAATCAAGTTTTACTCCATCAATTTGTATTCCTTCTTCATTTATTGATTTAGAGATACTATATATTTTAAGACAATCAGATTTTGTTTTACAAGCTTTATTTTAATATTAACATCTTTTTTTAACACCACATTATAGAGAGGAAGGTGTTCCTTCTTTCCAAATATTTAAAAAATATTCCTCTGGTATTTTAACAGTTTAATTGCAATCATAATCTTCTTGACAATCATCATTTGAAAATTTATATTCATAAATATATCCTTTTACTGTATTTTCTCTATCAAAAAATAGTATATTTAACTCCTTTACCTTACATCCATATAATTAATTATCCCATTCACAAAATCTCTCTTAATTGCATTACTATATCTCATCTTATTCTTAATAACATTAATTTTTAGAATAAGGTTCAGTTCTAAGTTAACTTATAGAAGAACATGATAATTTATTATAATGATTACCAAAATTTAATTATGAATTTAAGGAAGAACAAGTTTAAGAGGAAGGTATTTCTGCAATTAAACATTATAATTTCAATTTAGAGAAATAACATTATTTTGGAATTTTCATACAAATTTCGATATTAATATTTTTAGAAGTCGTACATTGAGTTTATTCATCTGTAAATTATTAACAAGGAGGAGTTTTAGTTATATCATATACACATTAAGATCCTCTTGTTAAATATAGGCAAGCATAGTCATTAGTCATAGTTTCACAAGGATTATTTTTATTCGTATCTTAGACATAAGTGCACTTGTTATTTTTATCATCATACTTAATGCCAGCTCCTGAGATTTTTCTACATGCTCTCTCAGTATATAAATTATTTCTGTTCAATTTTTAAAAATCACTATATGATATACTTTAAAATAGTGAACAGTCAAATTTTGTATCATCCCATATACAAGCTTCTCTTGTTATTAATTTACATAAAGATTAATTCAGATTATCTTCACAACCTAATTCTGAAATATTCTATTATTTTGGAATTTCATAACATATAGAAGCTTCTTTACTCCATCTACATTTTCCTTTCGTATTTTTATAACATGTAAATTAGTTTGCTCCAATTACATCACATAATTCTGATGTTTTATCTGTCGTTATACATGTGTAATTTGACCATTCACATTATTATTATGGAAAGTCTATTAATTAACAAACCTTTTAGCTGACTGGACCTTTTGAATCAAAATAGTTACAATTTACATACGTAACTGCTCTTATACATTTATCTAAATCAAATGAGAAAAAGCATGGTGAATGAATATTTTCTTTACATGCTTTAATATTCTAATTCAGATCGCAACTTGCCATTTCTGCTAAATCCTCTAAAGGTATTGTAATACATTTTAAAAGCTTTTTATCCCATTAGCAATAAAGATTTTCTGTAAATCTTAAACACATATTTGAATTTCCGATAACCTGTTCACAACTCTGATATTGAAAAGTAGTTAGTTACTATACACTTTTACAACGATGATTAATATAGTCATATTCAAAAAATTTCTCAATATTCATAAATGTCAAAGAAGCTTCAATAGCTAAACAAGCATAACTATTTAAAATTGCAGGTTCCATTGTAAAAACTTTAAAATTTTTATAATTCTCATAATTTACATTAATACATGATACACCATTATAATAACATAATTATTAAGTTGACCATTCAATCATATGACATGAATTTTTACCCATTTATGAACACATGAATTGATTAGCATTAAAGTATTATTTTACAGCTTACTCATTTGTAATATCTACCAAATCGGATGTTAATTCTTTACATTAATAATTTTCAAAATAACAATATGCACTAGTTTTATTAGTTAAACGACTACAAGAATGTTAATTGATTCCTCTCCATCTAGTTTCAGTACAACATTAAGTTTCACAAAGTTCTTTACCATCTAAAACTTAACAAGAACCAGTAAGAGAACTATATTTGCAATAACCAACTTTTTCTTTTAGATTATAAGGTATATGATCTGGATTATCCATCACAACAGATGCACATACATTACTATTAACATTAACAAAATCTGTGCATTTTTAATTCATACTCACAATGATATCTCCACATTAATCTAATTTATCCTTCCATTAACATAATTAACCCTTTTTAACTATTTATAAGCATATTTTTTTAGTAGGAGAACTCAATACACATTCTAATGAATTAAAACTATTTATTAATTATAGACTATTATCAGAACCATCCTAATTTTCATTTTATTGAGAATCTTATTTTGTAAAAAGTCTACATTAAAAGGTATCTGTGCTAAAGTAACATTAATCTTCTAATTAACTACATGCAAATGAATTCAAACCAGGAGAATCACAACTAAATTTTGATTTAACAGAATTAATGCATCCTTTAGCAGATTCTTCAAATCTACAAGGTTCTTAATTAAATTAAATCATAGCACAAGTTTATGAATTTGAAAATAACATTTCTTAACATGAAACATCTGAAATTTCTTTAGAATTATTAATTTTAACACATTCATTTTAATGCCATCTACAAGCTGTCTAAGGTTTTATTATACTAGCACAAAGTATTCTATTCAATCCTAATGATTTTTTTTCACAATCTATTGATACCAAAAATTGTTTAGAATTTATTGATAAGTCCACATTTTTGCATTTTTGTATTTACTCATCATAATAACAACCAGATTAAAGATTTTCTATTACTTAAGAACATGAATTATAATTTGCATATCCTAAACTATCACAAGTAGTTTTAAATGGGAATATTGTAAGTAGAATACAACCATTATTAGTCCATTAACAAGTTTATTTATGTCTTGTTATACTTAAACAACCAAAAAAATTTAAATAAGGTGAATTACAATAATCATCTTTAGAACTTGGTACACATTGCCTTGATGAAGAATCATATTTACAAACAACTTTATTTTTTGATATATTCTAACAATATAAACCATTATATTTAAATTAATTATTTTCTTAGCAATTCTAATCTTAATTTATAAAAATTCGATCGCATTTTATTCCATCCCATTTACAATATTAAAATTGAGTTTTTATACTAGTACAAGAGTCTTCATTTAATAACATATCACATTTGAATACATTTAAATCTTCTTCTGTTAACGTTTCACAAAATCCTCTATAAAAAGTGCAATAATTATTTTTAATTAGCAAACACGCTTTTTTACTTAAACCTAAAGTAGAGCAATCAATATTATTTAATTATTACAGAGATACTTCTTCGCAACTTTATGTTTCGCTGTTATATAAACACATACCATCATAGTTTTAACAAACATAATGATTAACATTAACTATTTAATTACATTGATAATTATTATTTAGATATATTCTACAATACAGTCCAGTCCATTCACATAATTATTTATTCATCTTTGAAGAGAGACAAGCTTATCTGTTTATGTTATAATTACAAGAATCTAATAAACTTACGTTTACAGACAGACAATGATTATTTTTAAAGATACCTTTTTTTAAATATATTATAATACAAGTTTAATCTTTAGTTATAATTGAAAGGCATCCTCTTTTATTTAAACCTTTTTCAAAACAACTTATCTCTGACAACTAACTTTCTTATATCGTTATACATTTGTAATCGTTAATAAGTCCTCCATGCAAACCTATCTAATAATTATTACAATTACATTTATAATTTTCTATTTTTGCACACATTGAAGATGATACTTATCGATTATAATAAGTTTCACAATCAATTCTCTCTTTTACAAAATCTTATACTTAATATTTTAAGCATTTTTCTTCCCAAATACAATCTTCATTAATTACATTCAAACAAGAAAACTTAGAATAGTTCTCATTACATCCTAAAGTTTTCAAATGAAAATTAGAAGCTTATATACATTTATTCTGAAATAAACCTATATATATATTCTATAATTTTACATCTCACTTCATTTTTTTATTAATCACTCAATTATGCTATGCAAGAATTTTTATTTAAATTATTCTTGCAACCATAATCCTATTAATTGAATTCAATACATTTATTTTCAGCATAGTTATATTGACCTTAATCATAGAATAACTTACAATAATTTATTTTTGTTTCCTAAATACATAAAATAGGATTGAAAGGATACAAACTACAATTATTCCGAGCTCTACAATGAAATATAAGTATTAAAATGATCAAATTCTATTTGAACATTATAGTTTATAAATTATAAATGAATATTAATTATTTATTTTAAAAATGAAGTCTTATGCATAAGATTATAAAATTTATTGTTTTTTTTTAATAATTATTAATATGATAAATTTACCAATATAAATAGAAACTCAACAATATAAATATTATATTGGAAATGAAGAAAAGTCCTTCTAAATTAAAAAGAAAGCTGAATTTTATTAATTCTAAAGATTTAAAACCACTAGTGATTCATTTCATGAAACTAATCATTGGATAGATAAAAAACAATAATAAAGACGAATGACGTTGGATAAATCCTACGATTGTTCCAATCTTAATGCATAAAAATATATTGATTATAATGTAATTATTTATAGCAAATAGATTAAAGAAAAGTATTAAACAAATGAATTAAATGAAAAGGTTAAATAATTTATTATACAAGACAAAAAGTTAATGAGAAAATAAATTAAAGTTACCAAATTTGAAGATCTATTATTATAATATTAGAAATCATTTCGTTAAAAATAAATGAAAAAGTAAGTATTAGATGCAATAGAATAAGAGCCTCTTACGCTAAATCTTAAGGGTTCTGGTTGTAATTATAATAAAATGAGAAATTCAAATATTATTAAAAATTAATAGAAAGTGAAATGTTAATAAAACATATAAAAAAAGAATTAAAAATAATAACATAACAATACTGATTCAGAGTTACAGGATAAAATTTAAAACTATTTGTCTAGGAAAAGTGTTAATTTACAAAGATTATCCTAATAAATGGATGATATAAATATTTCAAGAAAATTTACTTTAGAAGCAGAGCCTATAGAAAGATAAATAAAAACTTAAACAAATTTTTTTAAGGATTTAGGAGATTCTGATTCACCTTTAAAGGAAAAAGACAACGATGATTATTCTGCATTACTTAAGTAATCTTATAAATATTGGGAATTTGCAATTAAAACAAAAAAAGATTTAAAAAAAAAGAGAAAAACAGAGGTAAGCTTTAATGTAACTACTTAAACAAACTTAGAAAAAATGAAAAGTTAATTGTTGCACTGTATCCATAAATTAAAATATATGAAATTGTTACCTGAACAATTAATAAAAAATTAAGAGATAATAAAATAATAACCATATTAAAGGGATGGATCATATTTGTTTTTTAAAGGAATAGGAAAGAATGATTTAGATATGGTAAAATTACTGTTAGAATAATGTAGATTTTATGCTTTTGATGTAAATGAGAATTTTTAAACAGCTCTTCATATTTGTTCAAGAAAAGGATATTTAGGTATAGCAAAAATGTTGTTTGAATATGGAACTTATCCAGAGGCAAAAGATGCAAATTATAAGACTCCATTATATTATGCTTTAGTTAATAAATAAAAGGAAATAGTAAGGCTTTTGTTATCAAATAAATGTAATCCATGGTCATCTAAAGATTGTTGTTATGAATCTGATGATCCAATTTTGTTGAATATGCTTAAAATTGCTAGAAAAGTAACAAATTTATTGATAAAGTAGATTAATTTGTTACTTGTGATGATACCTTATAAATAAAGACAAGAAAAGTGGATAAATTATGCTAGAGTCTTTTCAGAAATGTGATATTTATAATTAAATAATATAAATACAGTCTATTTCGATGAGCAAGTATTAAAATGTATTTAAGCCATTGTTTATTGAAACCTTTGAGTACAATTATATTGATGGTAAGACAGAAAAGTCATTTACAATTAAAAAAAAACTTGAATCTAAAAATGGAAAAGGAAAGATGTAATAAAGTGAACCTCTTGCTTAATTTAATGTATTTATGATTTTTAATTAAAATAAAGAATGAAACAATCAAATAAAGTAATCATAGAGCTTAAACCAGTAGATGGTTAAGATAATCTTCTTTTGCAAAAAATTCAACTATTAATTCCAACACTCCTTAAAATAATGTTATTAGAAAAATAGAAAGCAGAATGGAAGATGAAGTATTAATATCAAACAGTAGAAATACTTCTGAAAAAAAAAATATTAATATGCCAAAATTAAATTATGTTGACTTTAATGTACATATTTTATAAAACAATAGTAAAATAGATTTCTGTAATGAATGGAGAAGGGAGTAATTCATTTTATAAAGCTTTAAAGTTAATAAATAAAGATAACTTATTAATGAGAAAGAAAAAGAAGTCTGTTTATAACTCTAAAACAGTTTCAACTTAAGAAAATGAAATAACTTAATTTGAATAATTAGAGAATCAACACCCTAAAGATATGATGGAAAAAATAGGAAAAATGTTAGCTATTAATTAGAGATATTCTCCTATTAGAAAATAAAGTAGAGTTAGAGAAGCTTTTACTAGAAATTTAAAATTTTTAGATCAATCATTTTAAGAATCTACATCACCAGATTAAAAATTAAAATCCGTCATTTAAATTTATTTTGATAAAAAAAAAGCTTATCAAGAAGAATAAAATAAATAATAAGAAATAACTTTTACAAAACTTTCATAATAAACTAAATCATGTAATAATAATAATAAGATGAGATTATCAACTACATTCTTAAAATAATTTATTCATTAAGTAGAAGATGAATAAAAATAATCAAAATAAGTTAAATCCTTAAATAGTTTTTAATAATCAATAAAATATTCTTAAACAAGAGATAAAACAAAAAAAAAATAAAATGCTATTTTCAGCATTCAAGTCAGATCTTTATTTAAGAAAATGTTCAATTAAATTGTAAACTGTGTTAGAAAAATGAAATTAATGAAATTAACCATAACAGAATTATTTTAAAATGGAGTAATTTAAAAAAAGGCATATGAAAGAGAAGGATCATTCTAATTTTTTGAAGGTATAGAAGATAATAATCAATAATTAATCAATTTTATGCTTTTAAAATGTAGATACTATGCATTTGATATAAATGAAGAAGGAAAGACTCCTTTACATTTAAGTTCAAAAAAAGGATTTTCATTAATAACTGAAAGATTACTCTAATATGGTTCTTATGTTGATTCTTTAGATTAAGATGGCAAAACTCCTTTATATTATGCTATTTAATCTGAGTAAAAGCATATTGTTTTTCTTTTATTATATTATAAAGCCAACCCATGGTCTATCAATAATTGTAAATATCAATGCAAAAATTAAGATATCATGCATCTAATAAAATTATCAAGAAAAGTAAATTTTATATTAATTTTTTTAGATACATTTAATATTAATGTTAACAAGACATTGTGATAGAGAAAAAAAATGGTAAGAATCCAGGAAAAATTTACTGTTATGATTATATTTATTTGTTTTTGATTATCAAATTATTTCTTTATAAAATATAATCAAAAATTATCAAGCTTTCTTTAAAATTTACTCATCAGTTGATGTCCTTGATATATTGAAAAATTTAATCTAATTATTAATTATAAATAATTAAGATAATCTCTAAAAAGACCTTTGATTATTTTTATTGTCATTTATTCATCCTTTATCAATAGTTCTATTTTATATTCAATTAATATTAAATAATATAAACTCTCCCAATCATATTTATCCTTAAGATTTTTTCACTAACTTTTTAAGATTTAATTAATTATCAATATAGATTTTTAGAATGATTGAATATTTATAGAGCAATAATAATTTATATTTTGTAAGTGTATAATTAAAATATTTTCTTTTCTAAATATTGTTTAAATTATGCTCGTAAGTTTTAGTATTGAAAAATAATTGACAATAAAAATTCTAAAAAAATTGCGCTTAAAAATAAAGTTTAAAATTTCAATCAATTTATCAGTGAAAAAATCCAGCGAATTCTAAATTCAAATCTTAGGTAATAGAGAAATATTCTTTATTTATTTTATAATATTATAAAAAAGGAAATTACTACATCTGATATCTTGTTTAAAAAAACTATTCCTCATAGTTTTTGTAAAATATATTTAAATATTAATTATAAACAATTTTTCAAAATAGTGTTTGTAAATTTTTATAATAAAAATAATGAGTTTATTATTGTAAAAGTTGTTGATTAGATATTGATTTGTATTTGTTTAAAATAATTTAAGAAAATCAAAAATTAAGAAATTAACGATAAATCATATTTAATCAAGACATTTCTATTTCTCCAAATTCAAGTAATTTCTTTTCATACATAAAATAGTTATTTTCCTCAATAAACAATTTAAAATCCATTAATTCTAAAAATGTTTACTCAAGAATAAAAATTTCTTTTACGCTAATTCCTCCAACTTTTGCATAATATTCATTTTTGTAATAATCATCATCTTAAAATTTTATAGCAATCAAAAGAGAAATGAATAAAAATCTAATAAATTAAAAATGATACCTATGAATGCATTTTGAATTAAGTACTAGTTAAGGATGTTTCTCTTATAACTTATCCAAATAAATTAAAGCAATAATAAAACATTCTTCACTACAATGTGTATATTTAGCAATTCTTTATAAGTAATTATACAAAGTTATTGATGGTACTTTAGTTGCATGAAAACAAGATATTGAATCTTACTCTATTTCTAGAGTATCAGTCTCTTTTATTATTTCATCTAAGATGCTAGCTATTGTTATAAGGAATTGATTATTTCGTTGCATTAATAGATATTATTTTCAATATTTATATTTTATAACTCATTAATCCAATCTCCTCCTTACTTTCTTACTATATTAATATTTTATTTTGTGGATACTTGAATTGTTCTCAATCAACTTCTCTTTCTCTCTATTATAATCTAATTTCATTAATAATTTACTATCCTTACTATTTGATCCAATTAATTATTAAACAATACTAAGTAAAAATTAATCAATAATCCTCAACTTTTTTTATCCACAAATTAAAATTTTTATATTATTATATTTATACTCTTAATGTTTAGAATACCTTTCCTTTTTTATTATTACTAATCTTATTTTATTTATCAAAACCATGAAAATGAGATAAATTAATCTCTGTCCATATATTTCGTTATTAATGAAATTTCCTATACATTATTAATTCCATAAAATATATTTTATTAAAATCTTTCTTTATCTATAACTCCAATATCAAATGATAATATTCATATTTCTACCCTCTCTTATCAATTTACACAATCATATTATATTATTAAAACAAAAGACTCCAATTTTATTATTTTTATTACATACTTTTTATTAAATTATCATCATAAAGTTTAGCCTTGCATTGACAAATCTAAATTCATATATATATATTTTATGAAAATTAATTAAACATTACGATTATTTATTTCAGAAAATAGTTTTTTTCGATCTTTATCAAAAATTGTTTATGATTAAAATTAAATTTAGAATTGGATTTCTCATTGATTAAATTATCTATTATTAATTTGGAATTATGAAGTTCAATATTCTTATAGGATATGTGAATTATTATTTTTACGATTATATTTCATAAATGATTCTTACTAATTAATTAATATAATTATGGATTAATTTTAATTATTGAAATTATTATAAGGATCAATTGATTAATAGGATTTTATTAGAAATGAATCACTTTAATTGTTGGATTAAACCTTTTAGAATTTAAATGAAATGAATTCCTTATTTAATTTAATTATTGAAAAGAATCAATTAGCAGAAATTTATTTGAATTATTGGTTGAAAAATCACAAAGAAAACTTAGATTTAAATTAATATTAATAACTTAGATCAATTATTACTTAAATATATAGCGAAAAAAACAATAAAAGTATTTAAATAAGAAAGGCATTACTATTCATATTGATTTAAGAATAAAATGATCTAGAATTAATATAATGGATCATTAGATAAAAGGATATTTAATTAATATATTACTTATTAAAAGAACTATTTAAAGATGAGGGAGATACTCAAAGAGTTTAGTATTTATGTCAATAAAGTTAATCCATGATTAGTGATACTGCATTAGAAATTTCATTAAAATTAATAATTTTAACATAAAAAATAATAAAAAATACTGCAAATATTGAGTTTATGAAATATTTAGGAGAATTAGAAAAACAAATCTATAATAACAACTTTAGAGTTATATACTTAATATAAAAATAATCTTAAACAAATTAATTTATAATAAGAATTTTTAATTAGAATGTTTAAGTTAATTACTATTTGTATTGAATAAAATATATTTTACTAATTAAAATTTAAAGTAGATATAATTAGTGTTTGTTTCAGAATAATAATTTAAAAATGATATTGAAAATTTAAAAGATCTTCCTATCTAATAAAATAAATTAGTTTTATAGGTTTTAAAGATTCTTAAGTTGTTATTATAAAATCATATATATGATCCTCTTCTTGCTTTAGAGTAAGTAAATTAAAATGGATTAGAATTTGAATTAGTATTGTTTGAAGGATATTTCAATAATATTTTAAAGTTTTTGATTTAATATGCTTTAATTTTAAGCCCAGCTTAATTATACGATATATATTATGATTAAGAAGAGGCATATGCTGAAAACAATAATTCATCATATGAAATTAGAGACACAGCTATTGATTTTCTGATTGCTTCCCTTTAAAGTCATAAAGCTGATGATGTTATTTAAATTATGAATGAATAATTTTAATAAACGCCAGAATTAAAGAGTTTTTAAAATGTGATATAGAAAGAAGCTATATATTATTTAATTAGAAATGTTATGCTTGATATGCAATTTGATATGGATTAATATATAGTATAATTTTAATAAGAATTGTTATCTAGAGATACATTGTTTGATCCATTAAAAATTTAGATTTTATAAATATTCATTAGATATCTAAAATATAATGAATAAATTCCAGAAGATATATCTTAAATAATTATTAACATTATCTTAACATTATAAACAACAAATAAATGTATTCTTCTTTTGTAGATTGAATGTTTGAATTAATTAATTGAGATAATAGATTAGCCAAGTTAATTTTGGCCAAATATACAATAAATATATAGCAGTTTTTAAAATTAGGAGAGTAAAATATGTATTTTCAATTTTTATTCATAATTAACTAAGAAAGATTAGTTTTAAGATCATTCCTGGATTATGTAGTAATTTTATTAAGAATGGTAAGGGAATAATTTAAACATTTAAGAAAAGATTATTGAAACTTTAATTGAAATAATTTATAGGAATGATTAATTAGTCTTACATTTAGATGTATGTATTTTTATAATTTAATAAATCTTCAATTAAAAACAATAGATTTTAGTAGAAATAGGAACAGAATTATTACTAATGTTTTTAAGTAAATGTTAGATATTGAAAATATAAATATCAAATGAATTGTCACTTTTTATTTAAAATATAATGAAGGATTAATTGATAAAATAAAGTGAATTTTGGATTTAATGTATTTTAATATAGACATTTTTGTTATATTTAAAGAATTTTGATGATTAATTGATGAGGGAAACTTTATTTATGTAAGTATTATAATTTTCAGAAATAAAAGATGAAGCTTATGAACATATTTTCATTCCATTAAACATTTATATTTAAGTAAAACAATAATCACATAAAGATTTTGGTGAAGTTATATTGAATTATTTAATAAATCAGTCATTAAGTCCTATGTAATTAATTAAGTTAGGGAATTTTTTGTCTTTAATTAATGATTTAGTATTAGAAGATAAAATAAATTCTTAGATACTATAAGCTCATATTTTGTAGAAGGAATTCTAATTAGAATATTTCAAAAATTTTATAATTCTATAACAGAGGTCTAATTCTCAATTGATATAATATTGTTAGTAAATATTTGAAGAATAATCAGCAAAACATATAGATTCTAATAAACATTATATAATAAGTGAATTAAAACCTTTACTTAGTCATCGTAGATTGAGATTAGAATGATTGATTGCAATTAGAATGATTAGTATTTTTTTATGTATTATATTTTAAATTAAAATATTTAATATTAAAAATAATAATAAATATTGGTTACTAACAGGAAGTTCAACTATTGAAAGAAATTAGATGGGAAAATGGAAATAAAAATGGTATTGAGTATTATATATCATTAATAATTATCATTATTTAGCACTCCATAAAGATATTGAATTTTTTGTTAAAATTTATGGTTAAATTTTCTTATCGCTTTTTAAATACTCTTTTTATTAACTATGAAATTAATTAACTTTTTCATTCAAACATTCTATTACTGAAATCAATAACATATTTTATTGTTTTTCTGCATGTATTCTATTAACTTAATAATTTGTATCTATTAATTTTTCAAGTTCCTATTTTAATTTTTTGTTTTCTTCTTATAATTAAGATGTCTAATTAATATTATAATCAATTACTATCTAAATGTGTTAAATATTTGTCTCCTTTTCTTTATTTATTTTTGCCTCTAATGTTTTTAGTTTTTAATCATATAAAATTTCCTTTTATTATAATTATTATTCTTTCTACTATATTTATTATTAAAACTCTTAAATTGTCTATTCTGAATAATATCCACCTATATTATCATTTAATATAGATTTAAATTCAGAATCTAAACATCTAGGACTCTATTGATAATGAACTGATGATCTTTAAGTTTCTTATCTTTCTGTCTACATTGTATCTACTTATATTTTTAATTCATTTATTTATTAATGTAATTAATGTATTTCTTTGTTTTTACTCCTCTAATTATCTTCTATTTCCTATTTTAACTATTCATTCTACATTTCCAATTCTACCACCTTACTACATTCTTTTTATTAATTTTATGCTGTTTATTTTATTTAATCTTATAACTTGCTAATCTTTTAATCTTTCAAATCCATTTATTATTTTATAATCTCAATATTTGTTTTTAATTCCTCTATTACTTTATCCTATTTACATCTTTAAGCCAATTCTTATTATAATTATTGATTAATATTTTCCAAAGTTGAATAATTTTATAATTTAGTTTAGAACCTAAATAAATATTATACTATATAAATACATTTCATTTTATTCTAATATATCTTTTTTTTCTTTATTGATCGTTGTTAATTGTGATTTTAATTTCTCTATTAATGTTCCAGATATATTCTCTTCAATATGAATGTTTTTTTACAATTCTAAATATTATGAATATAATAATAATACATAGTTTTATCTCAGTTAATTCATTCTCTTTTTAATTTAATAATTATTCCTATTATTTAATTTTATTATAGTGTTAAGCTTATTGCTTATCCTATTATTCTAATAATTATTTTAATTGTTAATTTTCATCCTCTAATTCATCAATCTTATCAAGTAATTTTCGATCTGATGATAAATGATGACCAACTTCTTCTTCTTAATATTGATTCATAAATTATAAAATATTCTGCACCTATTCTTCATTTAATTTAAGTATTGCTTCTTATGCTAATTGAGATTCAATCATAATCTATCATATTTAATTACATATGTACTTTTATTATGATTGAAATTAATTTTATGATTTCTGTCATATCTTAATGTTTAGCAATTAATAAACTATTTATTTCAGGGAAATTTGGAATTGATTATTTCAAATTTTAAACTAAATTTGTAACACATAACATATCCATTTGGAAATTTTTTTAAGGAGATGATTAAACTTTTTATGGGTAGGCTTCAGGATTCAATTTATTAAGCAAATTTGTTAAAATTCTACCATCACTTAAATCTTTTAATGTTGTGCCTTCTGGTACATTCACTAAATACCCAATCCATTTTAATATTGCATTTTGTGACATATTTGAAAATTAAATAAAAATTAATAATTAACGAAGATAGTCTTTTGTTAGTAAATTTTTTTAATATAATCTATTTTATTTCTCACTAAATTAACTTATTATTTTTTAATAAAAAGTAACATGATAAATAATGTAGAGTGAATCTTATTTAATAATAATATAATGGAAATCCATAATATTTCATTAATTTTAAATTAAGCTTAAAAATATATAAAAATCATATAATTTGATAGAATATTTATCGAATAAATTTCTATAAAAGATAGATATTGCGATTTTACAATAAATATGTTGCTTATAAAATATGATTGCTTATTAAGAATTTTTATTTTTACAAATATTAAAGCATTTAATAATAAAAAAATTGTGAATAACAAAAATTGTAAAAACATTAATATTTATTTATTATTATGAAATAGATACTAACATAAAGTTTTACCCATGATGTTCTTCCTACTTTATTTAGAGAATAATCTGAACAACCAATTCAAGTTTAAAAGCAATAAGCTTAAAAAGAACAAGGAAAAGACCTCTATGCCTTAATAGTTGATTAGCAAATGATTAAATAAATAGAAATAATTGAAATATTTAAAGAGGAAGACCATGAATCGATATATAAAAAACATATAGTCAATTATGTTATTTAAATAAAAACTGATTATTTTGATTACACCATTCCTAAAAGATATTCAGAATTTGAGAAATTGCATGAATAAGTATATTAAAAATAAAGTAAGTTGCACACCTGTTTTAAAAAAATGCCAAAATTTCCATAGAAAACAATGATATAGACAAATTCAAGAAAAAATATAGCTTAAAGATAAGAAATGTTGTAAAGTAAGAATGATATAAATAATAAGGATTTTTGCAACATCTATTAAAAAATTTAAATCATTCTTTGTATATCTTTTTAGAATTCTTAAATATTAAAGGTATTTAAAATGATAGTATAAATAAAAAGAATAATTTTAAAAAGGGGGTTTCGATTAAAATGTAAAGCTACATCAATTCAGTAAAGACGAAAATGCATTAAATGATCTGCTTGATTCTAGTCCTAAGAAAATTTAACCTAAGAATGAACCAGAATAGATGATAATACATTATTTAAAAAAGTTGAATGAAAAAATAGATGAGAGAGGTAAAATCTTTTAGTATTAATTAAATGATTAATTTAAATTAGAAAAATGGAGAAATATTGTTTTGGTAAAATCTAATAGGTATCATCAACTATGTTGAAAGTTTTATTCATAGGAGATGATGAAAGATAATTAGAAGGAATTATGCAAGCTTTATTAATGCATAATAATGATATCTAAACTCATATTAGTTGCATTAATGGTTTTTAATTTTTTCGCAAAGTTTTAGAATATGATTATAATCAAAGTAAATGATAATGGCTAAGTAGATGCTGAATAGGCTCTGAGATAGTTTGGAGAAATAACAATTAAATAATTTAGAAAAATGAAAATTTAGTCTCATATTTGTGGATAATAAAAATTATGTAAACAAGATGCACTAATTCTATTACATAAATATATAAATTAGAATCAATTAAAAGATTAAATGATTAAATACTTGATTGATGATGATGAATGTTTAAAAGAATATGAATATTTTGTATAGACTCACTTAAATAAGATGATAGATGATATTAAACTAAATAAAGATAGTAATGAAAATCTCTAAGAACTTTTACCAACTAAATCTAATTCAACAGAACATGCAATATTAGAATAAGAAGCTTCAATTGAATAATTACAAGAAATAAGTCAAATGAATTTAAATTGGAAATTTGTCCAAGGTAAATTTAGTGTTTTATATTATTGTAGAATATGAAAATCATTCATTATATCATCTATCTGGTTAATTTGTAAAATCAGTTCACCCTCTTAATTGCTCTTTAGAGAAAACTATCTTATTATTTACAGATTAAAAAATTTAATGGTATCATGGAATGATACAAAGAGATGTTATACAAAAATATGATGAATATAGAAATTTTATCGTAGAATATTTTATTTGGGAAGATAAATCAACCTTCAAAAAAATGGCTTTTGTTAGTGAATAAGAAATTATAAGGGTTGATGACTATCTCTATAAAATTACTATTATTCCAAGTACTAAGCCATTACCAATTAACTATAAGATTAAATGTGATGAATAAGGTATTAAACATTTAAATATCTAGGATAAAAGATGAGTTTGATGTTTTTAAAAAAGATTACAGATAATTCTACTGAAGCTATTATTTATTAAAATATTATGGATAATACATTTAGAGCAGCTCTAACTCCAGTTATTTTAAAAGAAATTCCATGGTTTAATCATACAATAACTAAATTAAAAGCTTTATTATGATATTTTACTATAATAAATATATTATTATATTTAATTAATATCTTTTATACTTATAATCCATATTATGGGTACTTGTGAATCAGATATTTACAATCCAAATGAAAGTTAACTTGATTCCGATTAAGAATATATTGAAACAGATTTTATGCAATATGTTGTTTTAGCTAATTGGAAACCTGATTAGAATGATGGATCTAATACCAATAATTAGTTAAATTTTGGAAAATAAAATCCAAATTATAATAATGATCATAATCATATTAACATGCATCAAAGTTTAATCTAGTAATCAAGAATAACTTAAATATCCAACAATTTCAATAATAATTATTCAAATATATAATATGCTAATTCTAAACCTTTTAATTAATATGAATAAAAATTTGGAGGTTCCACTCTTGCTGTTAGCAGATATACTTAAATAAGTAAATCAGATATCTTGTTTTAAGAATAAAATCTATCAAAATAACCATTTAATTATTAGTTTGGAAATTTACAATAATCTTAAATAAAGTAAGTTCAATTTTGATTAATAATAATCAATTATATTTTATTATTTGAGAGATATAAATAAATAATCAAAAATAGCTTAACAATTCAAAAATTAAATTAATAATTTTCATCTTCTTATTCTGTAAAACTATTATTTGTTTCTAATGGATTTCCATAGTCAAAACTGAAATTCATTTTTCTCTCCTAACTCTGATTAGCCCTCTATTTTTAAAAACTTTATTAAATTAAAATGTTTTGGTTTATAGGTTTCAAAACTTTTATTGATTCTTCTGGTTTTATTATACTTTATCGATTTTAATTTTCTTAAAAATTATTTATACTCTAATCAATTATAGAATAAAATTCTTCAGATTATGATTAACTAACCTAAGAATCTTAAATATTATTTTGATCTTACTATGACTATGGGTTTTGATCTTATTGGGAGATTTTTTATGATACTACATATTATATATTTTAATTTTATTAACTATTTTCTATCTATTAAATATAATAACTAAATTTTAGTAGTTAATTATTCTTTTCTTTTAATAAATGTTCTAATTCGTTTATTTTTTCATTTTGTACTGAATTTTATTGAATAAGATAAATTAGATCTAGTTATGATTATTTAATTGATATTTAATAGTTTATTTTCTAATTCTAATTATCTTGTCCAATTTTAATTAGAATTTCTTTAAGGATTTCTTTATGACTCAAATTGATTTTTAATGCACCTTCCAATCTTTCTTTAATTACCTTATTGTGATTGAATTCAGATATCAATTACAAATTTTTTGATTGAGGGAATTAATTTATTTGTAATTACTATTCTTACATTATTGAAATCAATTCATTTAATGAGTTTTGAATTTCTAATTGCTCTTAAATATTCAAAAAAATATCCTCAAATTTAGAAAATATACATACATCACAAACTCTTTGTAAGCATTATTCATGGTTTTCAAAGTTAAATAATTATTAATCATCTACTTTTAATGGCTATAAATAATTTAAAGATTTCTGAATTTCTTGTTAAATAGAAACATAGCTTTCCTCTTTTTTCTTCTGAATTTATTTTGAAACTAATAGTATCCTACTTGATAATTCATCAATATCAATTTCTTCAATTTCATTAAATATTTTTTATAATGATCTCATTACTTCAATATTTCCACAATTATGACAAATAAATGGAAATTTGATAATTTCTAAGCAAATATAGAAAAATGTTTACTAAATAAAAGAGAAACGCTTGTCAAAAATGCTTATTGGCTATGTTAATTATCCATGTAATATTAAAAATTATAATCGTTAAAATTATATATTTATCATTACTTAAAAGAAATAACACCAGTTCTAGCATTTTAAATAACATTAGCTGGAGCTTATGGTATAATTTATTATTATTGCTATTTTTGTACAATAGAAATTTATTCATGCATTTTACTTTCCCTTTATTTAGCAACAGCACTCAAAACTAATTTAGAAATAATTATAAATACCATTTTTTGCATTCATTTTTGCTAATGTACTTATTCTCATACCACTACTAGGGGTAGTTGCTTTAAAATAATTAACTTTAGAATCTAATTAGTTTTTATTCCCTTAGGTTTCAGGAGTCGATTAGACTAATTTAGATTTATTTTTTAAATCTTATTATTAAGATTTTGGTTTACTTTCTAATGCCTCATCTACTTCCATTTTACTAAAAATATCAATGATAAAACATACATATAAGCTGCTCTAAATTTATTGGCAAATGTAAATAATTATCCCAAAAAATCTTTAATAGTGTAATTATCATTTTCTCCATACATTTAACCAACTTATTTTATGTCTAATTTAATTTATTCAAATTTCTTTTGATAAGCTTACATTTTCCAATCTGCTTCTTTTATAAATTCTTAAAAAATTTCAATAAATTTTTTTGATGCTTCCTTTTATTATTAATTTAATAAATCATTATCTATGGCTTTTTAGAGAGCAACTATTTCATCATTAATTTTTTTTAATCTATTAATATTAATAATAATTATACCCTTTTAAATATTCATTCATTTTATTTTCTATATCTGCCAATTCTACTTTTTAAGCATCTTCTAATAAAAGTACATCATCAAAAAAGACTTTTAATTTAATTTCTTGTTGTTTGACTATTTTGGTTAGATATGTTAATAAATTATTTTTTTTATCAACAGTTTTAATAGAATCTACTACATTTAGACTATCTAAGCCAATTCCAACAGCATTTGCTTTAGGAGTACCATGATTTAAAAAATTAGCTATATTAAGTGTTAATTATAAGAATATTTTTAAACGAGGATCATTCTTGACTAAAAGAATGGGTTCTTATAAATAACCAATTTTTTTGAAAGTATCATTAAATTCTAGATCAAAAGTTTTTTTAAATAATAAGGTATCTAATCTTTATCGATATCTATAAATTTTAATAAATTCAACTAAGAATTTTTCAGCGTCATTTACTTTGGTCCAATCTCCTTCAAATTCTCTTAATAATTTAGCATCTTCATCTAAAGGAGCAATAGAAGTCAATTTTTCTATAAGTTCAATATCTAATTTATCTGAAAGTATATTGAGCCATTAAATAATAACATTAGGTTTATCTGGAAATTTCATCATAACAATTGCAGTGTTATTTACTTTTTTTTATTCTTCAATATATATTAAAGTAGGTTTAGGTAAGACTTTAGTATCTTTTTTATTAGCATTAGGATCAATTTTTTCACAAAATTTGGATTCTAAAAGATCAAAATCTAATAATGGAATCTAGTTATTAGTAATAATAAATACTTTAATTCCTTGAGTATCAATTTATTATGACCAGAATGTAGTTTTAAATTTGAATTTAGATAAGACATTAACATGAACTCTTCTTGGAGCTAAATCTTTTTTAGGTGTTCTAATAGTAATTCCAGGTCCCCTTATATTTTAAAAGTCTTACTTATCCTGCACAAGATTATCCTGGTGGAGGAGGAGGTCCAGGTGGTCTAGGTGCACCAGGAGGAGGTGGAGGACCTGGAATTTTTGAACCTGGAGGAGGAGGTGGTGGAGGTGGAGGATTTACACCTGGTAAAGGTGGAGGAGGAGGAGCATTTCCTAAAGGAAGAGGTGGTCTAGAACCTATTGGTAATGGAGGAGGAGGTGGTGGTGGAGGAGATATTTATTAACCAGGTAGTGGAGGTGGAGGTGGTGAAAGTTATGAATTAGGTAAAGGTGGTGGTGGTGGGGGTAGTAATTGATTAGGTAATGGTGGTGGAGGTGGTGGAGGAGGTGGAGGTGGTGGAGGAGTTATTATTTTATTTTAAACTCCATTTGATAATTAAGGAGGTGATTGTTGTTTTAATTATTATGGAAGTATTTAGGATTATTAATTTGATTATTGATTTAATTTTGATGTTTATTCTTAAATAGTGTTAACTTATTTAGCTGTATTAATATTTATAGTTTATTAGATGATTGGCTGTTATGATTTATTTGAGTTAGCAGTTTAATCATTTGATATACTTCCATTACCTTATACTTTAGTTTTATCAATATTTCTCTTTTTTGCTTCATCATAAAGTTTTTTTTTTGCATTCTATAATTTCCATTTCTTCACATAGTTGGCTTTAATCTTTTTCTCTCTATGATTAATTATCCATTTAGTAAGATGAATAGCTATCTACTTTCTTTATGATAACTTATTTTATTTATCTTATACCAATTTAGTTTATAAAATTTGAAATGCTAACCTCTTTGTATGAATGAATTATATATTTATAAAGATATATATCTAATAATATAATAATATTTATTTACCATCTTGATTGAACAATTTTTAATGACTAAATCATGAGCTTTAGCAAATTCATTCACTATTATTTCTTCATCTGAATTATTTATGTTTATTTCATAACTCTCGTCAACTACTTCTTTAATTTTATGTAAAGGATTATTAAACGTTTATGTTACTCTAGTGGCTTCTTATTCATCATCTGAAGAATTATTTGTATGAGTTATTCCTTTTAAATCTTCACTATTACAACTATGTGCGCTTACATCTCCACAATAATTTTATGATCTTGTCAAAATAATTTAGTGTTCTTCATCATCATTTATTTCACTCTTAAAATGCTAATTTATTCTAAACTATAATGGATTTGTAAAAGATGTTCTAACTTATGGAGATTATTGTTAAAATATATCATTATCATCTACTTCTTCTTCTTCATCACTTTCAATCAGAAAATTATTATCATTTGACATTATTAAATTAAAAATGATAATTGTATAATTAACTATATTAATTGATCAAGTTAATTTGAGATCATTTATATCAATTTATATGTGTATTTTAAATTTATTACCTCATTTTGGCAATTCAGGAAATTCTAAATTATATTTTTACTAGTTTCTTATTAACGTTTAGTTTTTAAGTATCCTAGCTTTTGCTTCTTCATATTCTTATTGCTTTTATTTAAGACGATCATCTAAAATCTCTAAATCCTTAATTGATTATTCTGATGTTTTTTCCTATCTTTCAACATTTGTTATTGGTTTCTTCACCAAAACTTTCTTTGGTTAAGCAGATGGCATTTAACTTTATTCATATGATCAGGTACCTTCTCTCTATTTTGATTTCTGTCTTTTCATTATTAATCATACTGAAATATATATTATTATATTTTAATATTTTAAAATGTCTCATTATTTTTAATAACACTTAAATACCTTAAAATTAAATTTTTCCTATTTANTTTTTGCATTCTATAATTTCCATTTCTTCACATAGTTGGCTTTAATCTTTTTCTCTCTATGATTAATTATCCATTTAGTAAGATGAATAGCTATCTACTTTCTTTATGATAACTTATTTTATTTATCTTATACCAATTTAGTTTATAAAATTTGAAATGCTAACCTCTTTGTATGAATGAATTATATATTTATAAAGATATATATCTAATAATATAATAATATTTATTTACCATCTTGATTGAACAATTTTTAATGACTAAATCATGAGCTTTAGCAAATTCATTCACTATTATTTCTTCATCTGAATTATTTATGTTTATTTCATAACTCTCGTCAACTACTTCTTTAATTTTATGTAAAGGATTATTAAACGTTTATGTTACTCTAGTGGCTTCTTATTCATCATCTGAAGAATTATTTGTATGAGTTATTCCTTTTAAATCTTCACTATTACAACTATGTGCGCTTACATCTCCACAATAATTTTATGATCTTGTCAAAATAATTTAGTGTTCTTCATCATCATTTATTTCACTCTTAAAATGCTAATTTATTCTAAACTATAATGGATTTGTAAAAGATGTTCTAACTTATGGAGATTATTGTTAAAATATATCATTATCATCTACTTCTTCTTCTTCATCACTTTCAATCAGAAAATTATTATCATTTGACATTATTAAATTAAAAATGATAATTGTATAATTAACTATATTAATTGATCAAGTTAATTTGAGATCATTTATATCAATTTATATGTGTATTTTAAATTTATTACCTCATTTTGGCAATTCAGGAAATTCTAAATTATATTTTTACTAGTTTCTTATTAACGTTTAGTTTTTAAGTATCCTAGCTTTTGCTTCTTCATATTCTTATTGCTTTTATTTAAGACGATCATCTAAAATCTCTAAATCCTTAATTGATTATTCTGATGTTTTTTCCTATCTTTCAACATTTGTTATTGGTTTCTTCACCAAAACTTTCTTTGGTTAAGCAGATGGCATTTAACTTTATTCATATGATCAGGTACCTTCTCTCTATTTTGATTTCTGTCTTTTCATTATTAATCATACTGAAATATATATTATTATATTTTAATATTTTAAAATGTCTCATTATTTTTAATAACACTTAAATACCTTAAAATTAAATTTTTCCTATTTATTGTTAATATACACCTTAGTTATTTCTATTTTTTAATATTTAAAAAATTTTTAAATTAACTGATGATTCTGTGTAATCATCAAATTGCTTTTATTTTTGATAAAATTAATCTTATTATATATTCATTCTCTACTTACTAATTACATTATTTATCAAAATTTGAACTTTTTGTCTTGATATGTAATTTTCAAAAATTAAAATAATTAATTGATTATTTAAATTTTTAGTAAATCTGACTTTTCAATTATCTAACTTCTATTCGGTAATTGTTGTAAATCTTAAGTCAATTGATTAAGAGAATTTATTTTGATTTACATTATATTTATAAATTTTTTTGATATTTTTATATTAATATAATAAACAAATCAACTTCCACTTTTGAATTTTTTAGCCTACTCTGCTCTTCTTTTTTCTCTTTATTCTTTTATGAACAGAGCAAAAATTAAAAAAAATAAAAATGCTATAAAAGTTAAGGATAAAAATCTATAGATTGGATTATAATTTGCTGATGTTTCATCATCTATTATTAAACTTCCTCTAACTATTCTTCTTTTTCTAATATCCTATAAAGGATTTGGTTGATTTATTTATTTTTCAGCTATTATTTAATCTAACTAAAAATAATTATTCTTATTTTTGTACTTGATCTTAAGTTATTGAAAAAACATAAGGTATTAAAAATCTATCAACAATTTCATCACAACTTCCCCAAGTTATACTTCCTCTGTAAGTGATATATTTTTCATGATTCTTTAAATGTGAAGCTAAATTAATCATATTTATTGATAATTAATCACCATCTTCAGTTAACTTGAATTATTGATTAAAAATTACATTAAAAATTTAAGGATATATGATTTATGTTAAATTTTCTTAATTTATTTGATCCTAATTGATAACTTTGAAAAAAAAGGAAAGCCCTCCTTTAATATTGGGATTCTTATAAATATTTAGTAAATCTCCCCAGATAACAAGCTCTAAATCAAAAACTTATTCATATATCTAATGTTCAGCTGGAGCAATTAATTAAAATTCTGTTGGTCTATAACCAACCATTAATCCATGAGGATCATGCCCTAACATTCTAAATTCTGGAATTTGTCTATTTGGATCATCTGTAAAAATATATCTTTTAGATTCAACTTCCTTATCCAATTACCCTATTAGAACATCATCTTTGAATCTTAATTCAAGTTTATAGTATTTGGCATCCTGATAAATGACAAATATTTTATAAATTATTTACAAATGTGTCTGTAATGCTAATAGGTGATTATCTCTCACCTCTTCCACATAGATATTCATCCTAGGAATAAACTTAAGAAATAACTAATAATATATAAAACATTAATTAATCTTATTTATTAAAGAAGAGATATATGGAATAAAAAAAGTAACAATTTATGATCATATTGATGGCATATTTTCATATTAATATTGAATGAATAAGTCATAATAAAATTGAATGATTTAAATATCCAAAAGTGATTAGATTCTTTATTATTAAATAATTATTTAAATCACAAACGTGCATGGCTGAAAATTAAAATGAAAAATGGGGTGACATGTCATCAGATTCAGACGCTGACAAACCCAAAAACACAAATGAAGGAGAAGATAATCAAAATAAGAAAAGATAAAATTACAAAGGAAACAATCAATAAAGAAATAATAATAAAAGAGGATATAGAGATAACAAAGACAATCAAAGATAAGAAAATGATTAAAGGGATAATAGGGAAAACCAAAGGAGTTATAAAAATAGAGATACTTAAGGAGGTGACCGAAATTAAAGAGGTGAAAATAGGAATGACAATAATCAAAGAAGACATAATAGAGATAACTATAGTAATATGTTATAATCTATTATTAGCATTTGTTGAATAAAAGAAGGATCAATTATCTAACTTTACTGGTGATAGTGTAAATATCCTTATTCATTGCTAAAATTTAAAATTAACAGAGAACTAAATAAAAGAAGCTTTGAAGGACATCTAAATGAAGAATTTTAACATTTATCAAGATTAGGCTAGATTTGATGTAGATAAAGATAATGCATTAAAATTACTTGATGTTCATAAATTATAATTTGTAATTCCATAAAATATTTAAATATATAGGAAGTAGATGGATAAATAGAAAGAATTTTTATGAAAATTGGTTATGATAAAGAAAGAAATTAAAATTACTAAGGAAAATATCATAATCAACACAGACAATTTAATGAAGACCATCATAATGAATTTATTCACAAAAGAAGAGATTAATAGAACAGAGGTGGAGACTATTAAAATAGACGAGGCAATGATTATTAATAATAACATTAAAAAATTAGTGAACCTCCTAAAATTGTTAGAAATACTTCATCACGTGTAGACGAAAATAATGTAATTTTTTTATTGATTATTAGCAATAATAATAATAAGTTTAATAACCAGATTAATAAATTATTCCAGAAAAACCTACAGATTCTGGAGAATTGAAAGTTGAATAATAAATAGTACCATAAATTCCTTCTGATGAGCAATAATAATAGTAATAATAATAATAATAAGAATAATAAGAATAATAATAATTAGAATAATAAGAATAATAATAATAAGAATAATAATAATAAGAATAATAATAATAATAATAATAATAATAATAATAATAATAATAATAATAATAATAATAATAATAATAATAATAATAATAATAATAATAATAATAATATTAATAATAGCAACAAGATTCTAATTAAAGAAGATATAACAATAATCGAGGAAATGACTATCAATAAAAAAATTATCATAATAATAATTATAAAAATAATTATAGAAATTATAATAAATATGATAGAGATCAAAATAATAATCCAGATTAATAGCAAGATAATAATACTGACAATTAATTTAGAAATAATAACTAATATAGAGGAAATAAATATTAAAATAGAGAATAAAGAAATAATATAAATGATAATAATTAAGAAGTAGAATAAAATGAATAAAAAGATGAAAATAATAATACATAATAGCCAAAAGGTGGTTAAAGAAATTATGATAATAGAAAGGGTTATTATAACAAAGATAATAGAGATTATCATAGAGATAATAGAGATTATAATAGAGATAATCGAGATTATAATAGAGATAAAAGAGATTGGAGAGAAAATGCTGATTAAAGAGAAAATAGAGATTAAAATGAAAATAGAGATTAACGATATAATAGAGATTAAAGAGATAATAGAGAATAAAGAGATTAAAGAGAATAAAGAGATAATAAAGAATAAAGAGATAACAGAGATGAAAGGGATAATAGAGAATAAAGAGATAATAGAGAATAAAGAGATAATAGAGATTAAAGAGATAACAGAGAATAAAGAGATGACAGAGACAATAGAGATAATAGAGATTAAAGAGATTAAAGAGATAATAGGGATAATAGGGATAATAGAGAATAAAGAGACAATAGAGATTAAAGATATAATAGAGATTAAAGAGATAATAGAGAATAAAGAGATTAAAGAGATAATAGAGATTACAAAAAAAAATGGGATAATGGAGATAATAGGGATAACAGAGATAAAAGAGATAAATATGAAAAAACAGATATTAGAGAAAGAAGAGATGATAATGATAATAGAGATTATTAAGAAAATAGAGATTATTATAAAGGAAATAGAGACAATTACCGTGATAATTAAGCTTATAGAGACAATTAACCTTAAAGATATAATAACAGAGAATAAAAAGAAGGAGAAAATAATGATACAGAAGATACAAAAAAAACAACCAATAGAGAAAGAAAGGCTCATGTATTTACTTATAAATATTATAGAATGAAATTTAAGATTTTGCAATTTCTCACCATCATAATAAAAAAAAGAAGGATTCTAAAAAGCAATAAATAAAATCTTAGAATCCATTCGACGCATTAAAGTAATGATATTTATTATAAATAATTAAAAGTAATCTGCTTATTCAAATTTTGTTTTTTAATTAGATTGAATTTTTTGATTTCTTTCATAAATCATATGGATAAATATTTTCATTAAAGGGTTTATTTATTATTATCTTAAGTAGGCCGAAAAGTTTATTTTTCTAATCTTTCAGATGTTACAAAACCTAAAGTTTATTATCTTTTTATTGGTTTAACTTTTGGAATGAGATTGATATAAGGTTTAGATAATCCTGAATTAACTTTTGATTATATATTTTTATAATTATTTTTATCTTTTTTTTATTCTAATTTTAGAAATCCTTGCCTTATTAATTAATCTGAGTTTTCACTAATTTTTTTTGAAACCTATTATTTTAATCTATTTAGAGTATTTTTACCAAATTATAATGCTGTTGATCTTCTTAAGAATTATTTTTCACTTACTTCATTATCAAGTTTAACTTACATAAGAATATTATAAATTACTTTATTTATTTTCATGACGATTAGCAAGCCAAGAAAAAGCGACTCCAGCAGTAAATTTAGATTAAATTTTTTCCATAATTTTATTTTCAACCAAATTTTCTGATTCTAAAGTTTTTATTTATCTTTCTTCTTTAATCTCATTACTTAATTCAAGAGATTATTTAGATAATTCTTCTGATGATTTTTTACAAAGAATCACAGTTCCTTTTTTTGATTAATTTAGAGTAGCACTTACTAAACGTTGTTATTTTAATTTTCTACGAATAACATTAAAGATGGGCTCTAACCTTGCAGCTTTTAATTTTAACTAAGCTATCACCATTTCATCTTTTCTTTCTAAAATTTTATCAATTAGTAGAATTCTAATCGTATTAAATAAAAATAAAACCTCTAATCAGCAGAGTTCAAACTTTTTAAAGAAGCTATTATTTATTTTTTATCATTAAAATCTGATAATGAATTATATGCTTCCTAAACTCTTTATTATTTAATATTAATTGATTGAGATTTATTAGAATCATTTTTTTTATGTAGAGTCTTTCGTCCTATATCAACTATATTTTAAGTCTTTAGATAGTTATATGATCTAAGTCTTATTGGAGATTCTATTCTAACTTCTGTTTTAGGTTATACAATAAGAGGTTATAATATTTTCTTAGCATTATAATTAGGCCTATCTGTCATTAGTTTATGAAAACTCATTAAATTATTATTATATATTGATAAATTGAATTTTATATTAATCTTCAGTGTCAATTTTAGATTTAACAGCTGAAAAACGATTTAACACATTGCTTTTAGAATATTGCATAAATTTATCAAATAAATAAATATAATGCTGGGTAATTAAACTTATACTGTATATGAAATGTATTTAAATCAAGTTTATTTTTATTCTTAAAAAGTGAAAATATGAAGAGTTCCTTTACAAGTTCCTGCAACAATAATTGAAGAATCAGGAGTTATAGGATCTAATACACCTTAATAAGAACTTAGACCTCGGAATCTTAAACCAGAATCTAAAGCTTCTTACATTGAATATAATAGCTGGCCATTAGCTCTAAAAAAAAGATATTTGAATATAAAATTACCCATCTAATATATTTATACTTTTTTCCTTTTCTGATTAGCTTAATAAAATAGTTTTAGTCGATGAACTATCTTTAACAATAATGGATGTCAAACCTCTAACAAAACTTGTATGAGAATTTCTATTGACCCAAACAGATTTTCCTGTTTATATATCATAAGCACTAACTTTTATATTAATAAAGCATACTCGATCCAGAATCTGATCCAATTACTAAGAGTTCAGTAGGACCTTTAGAATTTTAAGTTTTCTTTTATACTATTCTTAAATACTCTACACAAAATGCTAATTCAGTATCTTATCTCTAAATTTTATAAAGCAATTTGCCATCATTTTTAAAAACTTTTATGACTCCATTTATAAAACCTACAGCTAAATAATCAAATTTTTCTTTAATTTATGATATCTTTCTAAAAGTACTTATATCTTTATTTTATTCATCTGGATTAATTTCTTAAATCATAAGCATTCCAAATGGACTAGTAAAATCTACAATTTAAATAGAATTTTTAGATCCATGTGCAAAACAAATACCAAGATCTTTCATTTTAACAATTTCAAAATCATATGTAAAAAATGATTAAGTTTTAATTTCATTAACACATTTTTTACTAATCCAATCCCAAACTTTAATTAAACCATGTTATGCACTGAAAATCAAATTATTACATGATATATCATTACTCATTCTAGTTATTAAATTAATATCACAATAATGAATTCTCAATCCAAAAAACTCTCTCTGATGTGCACCAGTTATAGTTGATAAAAGATGAAATTTATGATCATCAGGAGAATCTAACCAAACTTTAATATCCATATCATCACTTGTTGTTACTATAGCCATTTAACCATATCGAAGAGATTAATCAAATTCTGACATTTATCCTTAAGCTGTCTCTTTTACTTTCTATATTTCTCTTTCACTCAATTTAAACATAGAAACACTTCTAATCCAATTTTAGTGAGCTCTATGTATTACTTATTAACACTTCAACTATTTTGGTTCAAATTATTTTGAAACTACCATATCTAATTATGGTATTTCAAAATTGCAAAATTTATCCAAAGTCTTTGTTAATAATCGAGTTATTCTTTCCTTTACTTTCTCAAAATATTATTAATTTTCCTCTATTAAATCTGTCATTTTCTATATCTATAAATCTTCATAATCTTTCGTTCTATATACTACATGAGTTTTAGGATCTATACCAAAATATTAAGTCAATTTTACAACTTTATATATTTATATAAACTTACTTTTCTTTCCAAAATTATCAATCTAACTTGTCTTCCCTAAATTCTTCAATGTTGTTTTTATTTCATCTATATCAAAATCTATTTTTTGCTTTGATTTTTATAGAATCATATTCACTTGTTTATCAATAATTTCCAATTACAAAATTAACGATTTTATAGACTAATTCTTAATAAATTCTTTACTTCACTTATTTTTAACTTAAAACTTATTAGTAATTCATTAATAGCTTTATAATCTGGCTATAGACTTTCAATTTATTTATGAATTTATTATACAAAATAATTCAGATTCCAAGTATCTTCCAAATGCATATGATGATAATTCACTTAACACAATGGGCAAATTGCACCTTTTTCTCTACATTATCCTTAAGTACACACAGATACTAACTATTCCTTTGCATGTCTTTAACATGGAACATCAGGGATTGTAATAACTTGCTATTAAATTTTTATTTTTGTTTAGCTCTAATCCAAAGAAATAGGTTTCATATAAATATTTAATAAAAAATAATTTATAAATTAATTGTTATAATTGATTAAATATCGTATACAATAAATTAGCAAATACACTATTCACTTACAATATTAATTAGACAAAAAGGAAAAACATTTATTGCTTATAAAACATCTAAAAAAAGTCAAGACTTAATTATTTTGTTTTTAAATTCGCTTAAGTAATCTTAAGATTAATCATTAACAATTAATTATTTCAAGTTGATTTTCAGACTAAAGAAAAGTTATTATTTAGTGAGTTTTGAAAAAAAATTTATTGGGTATTCCATTTTTTATTTTTTATTTTAATGAAATCTCTATCAGATAGAAACCAAATTAATGATTTAGGTTTGATTAATTATATAAAAAAAACACTTATACTATTCTGTTATAAAGAATGAATGAAATTAAAAGGAATAAATTAATTAGAATAAGAAACTTCTGATTTTGTAAAGAATATATATTAGGATATAAGCATAGTTTTTATAAAAATGAATNCAAAATATTATTAATTTTCCTCTATTAAATCTGTCATTTTCTATATCTATAAATCTTCATAATCTTTCGTTCTATATACTACATGAGTTTTAGGATCTATACCAAAATATTAAGTCAATTTTACAACTTTATATATTTATATAAACTTACTTTTCTTTCCAAAATTATCAATCTAACTTGTCTTCCCTAAATTCTTCAATGTTGTTTTTATTTCATCTATATCAAAATCTATTTTTTGCTTTGATTTTTATAGAATCATATTCACTTGTTTATCAATAATTTCCAATTACAAAATTAACGATTTTATAGACTAATTCTTAATAAATTCTTTACTTCACTTATTTTTAACTTAAAACTTATTAGTAATTCATTAATAGCTTTATAATCTGGCTATAGACTTTCAATTTATTTATGAATTTATTATACAAAATAATTCAGATTCCAAGTATCTTCCAAATGCATATGATGATAATTCACTTAACACAATGGGCAAATTGCACCTTTTTCTCTACATTATCCTTAAGTACACACAGATACTAACTATTCCTTTGCATGTCTTTAACATGGAACATCAGGGATTGTAATAACTTGCTATTAAATTTTTATTTTTGTTTAGCTCTAATCCAAAGAAATAGGTTTCATATAAATATTTAATAAAAAATAATTTATAAATTAATTGTTATAATTGATTAAATATCGTATACAATAAATTAGCAAATACACTATTCACTTACAATATTAATTAGACAAAAAGGAAAAACATTTATTGCTTATAAAACATCTAAAAAAAGTCAAGACTTAATTATTTTGTTTTTAAATTCGCTTAAGTAATCTTAAGATTAATCATTAACAATTAATTATTTCAAGTTGATTTTCAGACTAAAGAAAAGTTATTATTTAGTGAGTTTTGAAAAAAAATTTATTGGGTATTCCATTTTTTATTTTTTATTTTAATGAAATCTCTATCAGATAGAAACCAAATTAATGATTTAGGTTTGATTAATTATATAAAAAAAACACTTATACTATTCTGTTATAAAGAATGAATGAAATTAAAAGGAATAAATTAATTAGAATAAGAAACTTCTGATTTTGTAAAGAATATATATTAGGATATAAGCATAGTTTTTATAAAAATGAATACTTATTCTAAATATCATTTTAAAGAGTAAATACTAGATTAAAAATATAATAACTTAAGAGGGGTATATAAATTTAAAAAATAAGGAAATAAAGTAAAAAAAATTTGAATCAAAAAATTGTAGTTGATCTCAAAAATTGAAATAGATGGCATAAATTAAAATTCTTATGTTGAAAATAAATTGAACGAAACCTTTGATGGAAATTAATTTTGATTTATCAAAGAATTATTAATGGTCTTGAACTGAAATAAAAGGTTGATAAATTAAGTTTGGCAGTGGTAAAATTGATAATATTGCAACTAATAATAAATTAGAATAAATAAATATATTATAATGATCAATAAATTTATGGGATATTTCAAAAATAGGCCACCATTCCAAAAGAGAGTAGCAAACTCATCTCTTCTAAGTTAATCTGATGAAATTTTATTGGATGATCTATTATTTTTAATTTCATGCTTTGAGAATAATCATTCAGAGTTTATAACAAAAGCACCATCATATTATATATAATAGTATTTCCAACTAACATGTGAATAGTATAAATACTTAAATTTTATTTAGGGAATTTGCAAATTCATATCAAATAAGAAATAAAGTTCTTTTGACATGCCATTTGATGTTGCACGAATTTTAATTAGGTATTGATTTTGCAGATCACTTTTTGAATTAGAAGTTTACAATTCTTATGAATAGAAAATCGCCAACACTTATAAAAACAAATCAATAAAAAGAAGAATGGCTATCAGCAAATATTTAATTAAGCTATTTTCAATATTTACAAAAACTTGCCGTTAATATTTAAGTTTTTCATGCCTGCAAAGTTTAACAATATCCATTATTTTAAGAAGGACAAAAATTTATTGATATATAAACAAAGCTACTGTGGTTATTTAAAATAAGCAATTTAGTATATTAATTATTTAAAGTGTAAGGTTAATAGTGGATTAGGATAAATGGAAGCTTTGAAATCTGCATTACAAATGGTGCCTGAAGATTTATTATTAAAAGAGATAGTACTTGTATACTGGTCAGACATAATAGTCTTTTATAATTTTTTAAGCAAAGAGGTATTATATTATGAGAACTATAGATTTTATAATTATTAGATTATTATAGACATTTAGCGACACATATTTGTTTGTAATTCTACGAATTATATTTACAATTATTTTAAATAAGGAATTCTATATCTGATTTATATAAATATAGGAAACATTTTGATAGAGATAATGTTATTAAATAACCAAAATGGTTTGATGTAAATAAACCAGTTCATAAATAAATAGAAGAGTTTATGTTAAAATAAAAATTAAATATGGGTAATCATACAGATAGAACTCCATAAAAACCTTAAATATCAAGTAGAGGTTCAAAATCATAGATTGCATTTGATACAAGAATAGATTTAAGTAAAGTAACAAGGAAAGATAATACAATAAAAACACATAGAGCTGGTAGATAAGGAGATAGTGATGGAGATGATGAGGATTTTGAAGAATTAAAATAAATCCTACAAAATTCAAATATGCAATCTAAATTAACTAAAAAAAAATAATAATAAAAATAATAACAATAGTAAGATTCTTAAGTGTCTTTCTAAAAATAATCTCAAGAAGAAGGCACTGATTTACCTAAAGGTGATTGATGATAAACTATGTCAATTTTATACAAAATTTTACTTATTTTTTTAATCTTTCTTAATTTACAAATTCATAAAAGAAATCTTTTATCATATTATCATACTGATTAATGTTTTATTATAAAATTAATTTTAAAATGTAATAAGGATATATTAATGCAGAAATGAGTGATTTTATAATCTAACATTCAACTTTCATTAATATTTAACCGAATTTTGATTTAGAAAAGCTACAATTCATTTCTGTAATATCAAAAATGATTAATTAAGGGAAATTTTGGACCATTTAAAATTAATTAAATAGTAGAGGTTCCATTATGGGTAGCAATAGAATTAAAGAAAAAAAATAAGTGTAGAGTTATTCCTCCTGAATGGTTAACTATTGAAAGATTGTAATAAAAACTTGATGAAGAAACTATCAATGAGTTAGACTTATCAAAAATGGAATAATATTATTTTGAAATTTCATAAATTTTATTTTCTTATTGTAGAGATGATATTAAAGATGATGATAAAATCAAATTATTATTAGAAGATATCAAAACAAGAAGAGAAAGCAAAATTTAAAAGAAAGTTAAAGAATTTATTGATAGAGGATCTGATGCCTTAAAAATAAATAACATAAATCAACATGAAAGAAATAAAATTCACTCTCATTTTTATGGAGATTTAAAAAAATTGAGGTAATTGAAATTACTAGCAGAAAGTTGAGAATATTTATATTAAATTTATTGAAAATTAAATGATTCATTCCTTAAAACCAAAGAAGAGATGCTAATAGATTTGTTATGAACATTAATTCATATTAATCCCAAAATCTAATGAATGCTGGATAAAATCATAAATCACTCTAGATTATTGTCCTGTTTATAATGAGTACATGTATTACATTACAAAAGATTTACCGGATAGTTTGAAAACATAGTTCCTATTCTTAATTGTGATAGATAACCTGGACTTCCTACATTCATCCTAGAATATGATAGAACTTAATATTAATTCAATCTAGAGCGATATTAATAAGAACATCAATTGAAAATTGAAGAATAGAGAATAAAAAAGACTAAAATGGTATTTAATTTATGTATCATATTTAAGTTAGTTCCAAAGCCCGGCAAAAAACATAGGTATTGTGGAGTATGTAAAAAAAATTATGAAGAATATTTAGATGTATGTCAACCTTTCATTTTAGTTTAGCATATCCAATCCTAGGAGCATATAAATACTTTTAACACCTATAGAAGTGTAAATTTGATTAGAACTTTAATTCAAGGATTTTAGAATGTTATTAATCATGAATTCTCAGATTAAAAATAATCTAGCATTTTATTCTGCGATTCAAATACAAAAATTCCAATGAATAAAGAAAATTTTGTTGCTTACTTTGATTAAGAAAGAATTGGAGTGCGATTCCAAAAATAATAAATCAAAGACATTCCTATGCTTGAATATAAAATTCCAAGTTCTAAAAGAGGAAGGCCTCCTAAAACTAAATAGAAAAAGGAAACTATTAAAAAAGCAAAAGTTTAAGAAGATATCCCAATTATCCCACATTATTAACCTAATACATATTTAGACTTTTATTATCTATAATAATAATATTTGTAAGCTTAATAACAAATTTAAAATTAATAATAATAATAATATTTATGTTACCCTTAACCTCAATAATAGTATTTTAGAGACTGTATTTATTATTTTTATATTTCTAGAGATGTAATATTTTAATTAAAATGCCTAATTAGATTTGTAGTTTTATCAAAGCTTGATGTAATAGCAATAGCATTTTTTATAATTAAAAGAAATAGAAGAACGTAGAGAATATTCAGATAGATCTTCGTTATGGTAGAAGTTGATATAATTAACAAATTACTAATAGCCAACTCAAAATGAAATAGTTTAACTTTTGCATAGCATCATAGAATAATACGAATGCAATCCTCGTAACAATCAAAACCTAAATCATAATAATAATGATTAGCAATTTTAATGATTTTATTAATTTTAATTGTTTTGTATTTCATTTCATTTTATTCAATTTCAAATTATTATTAAAAATATATGTTATTTATTTATTAATAATTAATTATGTAAAAAATAAATTTTAATATAAAGTATTCACAATTAAATTTTTTTAATTAAAATTTCTGCTTATTAAACATAAAGAATATGACTTAACATTTAATATCTTTTATCCTCACCTTATAAATAGATATTATACAAATTTCTTAAATCTATTCTACTTTTAAATAAGAATTCATATTTATCTTTATAATTATTAAAAATTAATATGTAGAAAACATAATTGGTGAATTTTTTGTAAAATGGATCAAATTATTATCCATTTGGTGATAAGCCTGATAATAGTTATTCTCCAGAAGGAAAATTTAAACCATATATTTGTGAAAGAAATTAAGTTGGAAAACTTGTAAATACCTAAAGTTATACCTTTTCATTAAATAGAAAAAATACTAAACAAAGAACCAGTGAGTAAATTAATCAATTAGAATCTAATGAATTAATAAGATATAAATTTCATACTGAATTAGAATCTCCAAAATACGATCCAAATACAAAATATGTCACTTTAATACCAACTAGCTTTAAAAGTGAAGATTTTTAAAAGCAAATAGATATTAAATCATATACCCTTAATCATAATTAAGTAGAAAGAGGTCAATAAATGAAAAAATAATTGAAAGGACTTAATAATAAACATTAATTAATAAGTAGAAATACTAAAAATTTGACTTCTTAAATTCCAGCCATAGGAATTTATGACCCTTTACCTATAAATAAGCATTTACCAAATATTTAGATTAAATCTAAATCAATTTAGAAATTACCAGAAGTTTGGGAAAGAAATACTTCAGTAGTTACACCTAAATAAAGTTTAAAACATTGTGTATCAGAAATGATGTTTGCAAAATAGATTGCTCAAATAAATAGAGAAGTTGAACAATAAATGAAAAGAAATCCGAATCAAAAATTTGCAATTTAGTAATTCGATGTTAATGAAAATATGAATTTAGAAGAAGCTGAATAAATGAGAAACAGAATGAAATTATATTTTCAAAGTGTTAAAGATAGCCTAACAAAAATAAAAAACTTAATAAATTTGAAAAGATGAAATTTCAATAATTGCTATATTTCAATCTCTATATTTTTCTTCATTTAAAGAAAATATAATAAAGTAATTAATAATAATCTAATAATCTAAAGATTAATTTTATTAAAAATAAAGAAAAAAAATAGTGTATGAATCAATATTTGGCTAAGTTTTATTTTAATTTTGGAGTATACAAAGTGTAACTCATAACTTTATTTTCTATATTTGTATCTTCTATTTAAGTCATTCCTTGTAAATCAGTTTAGTTATCTAATTATTTGTAATTCTTTTGAATTTCTTTAACTTTCAATGGTTAATTTTTTTTATAAATTTAATTTCGCCATCTATTGATATGTAAATTTTTTACTTTGATTATTTATCTTTTTATAATCTTTCTTCTAATTCCTCTAAATCTTAAAAGTCTTCTTATTAGAGTTTCATAATTTAACTATTGTTATGAAATGATTATTGTTATTAATTAATGAATTGCTATTATAAATGAGAGGACATATGTCTTTCACGAAATGATTTAGAAGATTATTACTTAATTAATGATCCTTTGGAATCCTAATGTAAACTCATAATTCCTCTGTCTTATAATTTAGTTAATAATTTTGAAGACCCTATTTGAATATTATTTTGAGAGATTTAAGAATTTTAATAATTTAATAGAATTGAAGATTATTAACTATTTATCTATGAAGATGAGAAACTATTTCCAGTATTGTTTTTATTAACCTATTATTCTGATTAATGGCGACTTCTATTACGATTGTTATTGATTGTTTTTTATAGATTATTGACATCAGATCTAGTTATAATATCAAATATATACCTTTATTTTTGAATTTAATCAACATTTTAAAATTTATCATTTTATCTTGATGATCTGACTGGTTATTTTGTTTCTTATTAAATCTATTCTCCTGAGATTTTAGTTGTTCCTTAAGTATATTCAGTCCAATCAAGTCTTTTATCATTTTTAAATCCACCATTTATAGATATTTATTCAAATAAAGAATGCAAATATCTATAATCAGGTGTAGATTTATATTCTAATTATTTAACATATTAAAAATATCTAATTAGAGATACTCTTACAAATAGAATTCTTAAGGACAGTCATTACATAATTCTTCAATTTAAGTTTATTATTTAATCTAACCAACAATTTTCGTTTTTTCCTTCTCTGCAACATTATGATAAATTTACCAAGGTAAAATACCTTTATACATGTAAATTATCATATATCCTATTGATTCTAAATCATCTTTTCTACTTAATTCATATCCTCTATGTGCTCCTATACTTGCATATCGAGTTGTACCAACAAATGATTTATTCTCTTTGAATGGACTGATATTAAATAAATATAAAATATGATTATTTACACATGTGTTCCATTAGCATCTCTATAAAATTTTGCAATTCCAAAATCTGCTAGAAAAATTGAATTCTATTCAAAATCTTTTCCAGTCATAACATTTTCTGGTTTCATATCTCTATGAATTATTCCTCTCATTTATATGTATTTAATAGTACTTTTTATGAACTCCTTCAATTATTTATATTATTTGAAGAGATATATTAACAACGCATTTTAATGAAAACCTTTTTAAAGCTTTTAAATGATAGGATAGATCTCTGCCTAATAATTACATCACCAAACAATTATGATTATGTTCATTACCTGCCCAAATTATTTTAGGAATCCCTATTTTTACCATATATCTAACCTGGTAACTTTTTCAATTCATCTAACATTTATGTTTCTCTATCCAAACTCATTGAATTTATATCCTCCTTTTCTACTTTCATTGCTACATAATCTTTTGTTTATAAATCTTAACATAAGAAAACAACTCCAAAAGAACCTTTCAATAAAAATAATCCATATAAAAGGTACCTGCACTAATCTTATGCTTTATATAGAATCTTTTGTTATAAAGCCTTTCTTTTTATTTTTCTTCTAAATTCATAAAAATAGATAAATTAATTAATTCAGAGTTTAATATCCATATTATTTTGGTAACCATTTTTATTAGTAATTTTAAAGAAATTCAACTTCAAAATTTAAAATAATGATTGTTCTATCAATTCTATTTTTTACAACAGTATATTGAATTCACTTTTTATATCTATTTATAAATTTTAATAAAAATGTTGATCTGTTTGATAAATTAAAAACAGCAAATATTACATATTTTAAATTATTTTCATATAATAAAATTAAAAAATTATTTCAAAATTAATATTTCATAAGTGTTGTGAAGTATCATAGTAAATGAGTAAATAATTAAATCGAATATATACTTCGAATTGGAGAATTTGAAAATAATAAATAAAAAGTATTATTTGATTTAAAATAGAAAAGAGATTGTTTTAATTTAAGATGAAAAAACAATTAAAAATTAATTTTCTAATCAAAAATATCATTAAGGCTAGATTGAGGCTAATTATTGTTTATAGTAACCAATAAGTTCCTACCATTAAGTCTTATTTTTGTCTAAATTATCAAAATATGGTTCAAAGGCTGGGAGAAAGCCTTGAACACAAGAAAATGTTGGTTTGACTACATAATCAATAAATCTATAATGATTAAATAAAATACCCCAACTAAGCCTCTGCCATATTTGTCGTATATCTATTACAAAGATAAGAAATAGGTAAACCAAGTTCCCTTTCTTTATCTCCTTGTGACCAAAACTCTGTAAGAACTCTTTCAGTCCATTCCTTGTAGATTTAAAAATTTTTAGTTGGATTTGAGACATCAGAAGAATGAACAACCAAATCCATTAATCTTTATTTATCTTTTCCATAAGGTTCAAAATCAGCTATATAAAAGTTTTATTTATATACGTGATGTTACTCTACTATTAGTAATAGCTAATTCAGAAGCATGATGAGCCATATCTGTAGATAAAACCATAGAGATTATTGATTCTCTAATTCTTCTATATTTTTAGAATGGTAGATTTTCAAAAATATTTGCCTTTTAGTTTTTCCATGCAATTTTAAAACATTAAGATGGATGAAACATTTCTAAAACACTTTAATCATTGTAAGTTAATGCTAAATCATTTTTACTATTAATTAAGAATGCATTAGTTAAACCAGGATGTCCATAATCATGAATAGCTCCTGCAATTAAAACACAAGCTATATCTTATTCATCTAATTAGCCAATCTCAATAAATTTGCATCTATTCAATAAAAAATTGCAAGTTTAGGCCACATCTTATGCATGTACTCTATTATGATATGGATTATCTATGTAACCTTTTGTTACTTCTTCAAAGTAACTTCTTACAATTTTAGGTTTGATTAAGAAAACTTCATAAAGATTGTAATATTCAAAGAGAAATAACATCAAATAAACTAATCCTTCTCCTGCACTTAATTTATCGCATTCAAATGGATCAATATATAAATCATCATGTTATTTATCTAAAATCTCTAGAACCTTATATTTCTATATAAATTGTTTACCCTTTTAGGAATATTCAATTTTTAAAAATTAGCTAGTACTTTTTTTTATTACTACTATTAATCATTATTAACAATCTTTCTTACATCTGTTCTTCCTTATTAACTTTAATTCAGCCAACCCATAGCCTATTCAATTAATTAATTAAAAATATACTTCAGCATTATCTTCATCTAACTTTCCCATTTAATACAATTAGTTACTACCTATTTTATCTATGCAATAATCAATATCCAATTTCATACTTTCAAGTTCTATAACTTCTTTTAATTCTAATAAAAATCTAACAATTTTTTCAGCAGGTGTAGAAATAGTTGATATTGTTGTAAGTCTTCTAAAAGTTTATGCTTTTCTTATCAGAAGAAATATTCTTAAAAATCTGAAAACTGCTTAAATGACTTTAACTACATTTGATGTTTTTTAATCTGCTAACTCAAAAATTACAAAAAAGAGAGACAACAATATAATTAGAGTATCTAATATCAGCCATTTATCTTTGTAGTATTTCTAAATTATTTTATATCTTTACCATCAAACCCCATGCATATATGCCAACTGCAATTTCTAAAATGAAAACAATTAGTATTCCTAATTCAATCCAACTCAGTATTACAGAGACATTGTTAAATTCTGTTTCATCCATTAATTCTTCTAAAGCTACAATAACAAAAATTAGGATTGCATATACTCCAACCAAAGCTATAATGCTAATGGTTACTGCCTTTGAATTAATATAATCTTAGATCTTTTGTTCTTATTCAGTATACAATCTAACCGTAATAATAAATGTATTACCTCATATTGAGTTTTTTCCTTGGAATCTCAAGCAATTTATCACTTCTTTTTGAGGATTCCCCTCTCATAGTTTGTTTATCTGGATTTTCAAGACTTCTTAATTGAGAATCAGATCTTGAACCCAACATATTTAATGTAATAATTAAAAAAAGAAAAACAATGTTATTAACTATTTTATTCATATTATGGTAGTCAAAATACTAATATCAGTGGAGATTTTATATTTCTAATACTTTATTATAATGTTTCTTAAGTTCAAGTATTTAGTTCTTATTGTTTTTTTCTCTTTTTTCTTATTACAACAAATCCCTTATACTATTGTTAATAATATTAATATTTTAATATAAAAAATTTAAAAAATTGGCTAAAAATATAAGTGGTCATATAATTGAAAATAAATTTTTCTAGATTCATTAAAATATCATACGTGTAATATACTTTTAGATTAAATGTGAAATAAATTAATTTAATATAATAATTACTTTTACATGTAAGCAGAGAAGGAAGAGATTATAGATGAACTTACCTAATTAAAAATTGAGAGATCCAAAAGAAGACAAAGAAAAGAATGGGAATTAAAAATGATGGGAAAATGCATAACTTGGTTAATTTATGCATATGCAGCAGCAATAATAACAACAGGATTGAACTACATATTGGTAATTAAGATTATTGAATTATTAGTTAGAAAAAAGCTTTAAGTATGAAGGAATAGTAGAGGATAGTTGTTAAGATTTTAAAACACTCAAATCAGTTAATGATCAAATATTCCCTCTATTAGACGAATTGACTGTAAAAATAAGAATTGAAATAATAGTACAAAAAATATTTCAAGATCTTCAGAGTAAACTTAGAAAATGATTGTCCATTCTCTATTGGAGAGTATATTTGTACAAGCAAAAAATGTGTAATTTGCACATGCAACACAACAGAAGTAAAATGTTAATATATTCTAGATTCCATCTAATTGGTTATCACCAGCATCATCTCCAATAAATTATCCAAAAGATGATTTTGCATTTTGGGATTCAGAAAGATACCTATGTATGAAAATAAATGAGACTTAGCTCCTTCTGAATGGATATGGCATGTTGAAGATATAGAAAATGATAAAGGTGTTTACGTGGATTTGAAATTAAATCCTGAGGCATTTACAGGATATTAAGGTTAACATATATGGGATGTGATATATAGAGAAAATTGTTATTAAGGATCATTGAGTGAAATGTGCAAAGAGAAGAGAGCATTGAATAAATTAGTATAAGGATTACATACTTCAATTTCAACTCAATTAAGTGAATTCTATGTAGATTTATCAACAAATAATACTTATCCAAATTATACACTATATTTTGAGAGAGTTGGAAATCATCCTGAAAGAATAAGAAATTTATTCTTTTTATATTCAGTTCTTTTAAGATCAGTTATATTGGCATCTGATGGAATATAAAAACATGATATAAATTCTTAGTCTTTTGAAGAAGATGGTAGATCAAAATATCTCTTAAATTAAATATTATCTTTAGGTAATAATTAATGTTAAAAGCCTTTTGATGAATAATAGTTCTTTAATTAAATAACATTTGTAATAAAAAGATTATTATGGTTAGGAATAAAAAAAAGATTATCAAAGATATATTCACAATATAAGTAGAATAATGGATTGTGTAGAATGTCAGAAATGTAGAGTATTTGGAAAGATGTAAACATATGGATTAGGAACAGCATTGAAAATTCTATTTTCTGAATCTCCTGCAGAATTTTCAGGTAAATTGAAAAGAAATGAGATTGTTGCATTAATAAATACATTTGGAAAAGTTTCAAGTTCTGTAAAATCAATAGATTTAATGTTTGAAAGGAGAGCTAGATTTCATTATAATTTATTGATAACTATAGGAATAGTCGGTGGAGTATTCATAATATTTATGGTGGCAATTAGAAAAATTTATTCTGAAATGGATAAGAAAATATAAAATATGTTTAAAGGAATGCCTTCAGATAATGCTTAAAAAGGAAATAGAGGTTAAAAGAGTAAACGTGATTGAATTAAAACATAGATAGAAATATATATATATATATTGTACCATTTTTATATATCAATATCATTGTTATTGTTATGCTGTTTCTGTTGTTTCTTCTGCTCTTCTTGGTCCTCTATTACCACCTCTTCCAAAAGGTTTATTTCCTCTTGGACCTCTTCTTTATTCAGGGGCATCCTCTTCGAACTTTTTATCAGCTTTTTTGAAAGTGGCTGGAATTACATCCTCAACAATGCCTTTATAATAAATGATTCAATATACCCAATTTATCTCTGACATATTTTACACCTTCAGCTTTTAGGTAATAATAGTAGTATTACCATGAAAATACTAAATCAACAAGCTTTTTATCCCTTAAGCTTCTCAAAAGCATCCAAACTTCTAAATTTTTTACTCCTGTTTCAGCATGTACTGGAAGTGCCATGTCCTTTATTTCTTATTAAAAATATACCTTTTTTATTACTATAACACCTTCCAATAACAAATATTCATAAACTTTTCTTCTGTCTTATCTCTTTACTTGAACCATGTAAAATAATGGATTTGATTTATTTTAAATTTTAAAATAAAATAAACAAATACGCAATAATGCTTTCAAGAAAATCTTTTTTATTCAATCCATCTCTTTATAGATTCTGCTCATTTAGAGAGGAATATGATACATTTGGACCAATTAAGGTTAAAAGTGATCGACTTTGGGGAGCTTAAACATAAAGATCAATCTAAAACTTTGATATTTGTAGAGACACTGATAAGATGCCTCTCCCAGTCATTAAAGCTTTTGGAATACTTAAAAAATCAGCTGCTATTGTAAATAAAAGATATGCACTTAAACCTGAAATTTCTGATGCTATTGCTAAAGCATCTGGTATATTCATTTTATTGATATTAGATGAAATTATTGCTGGAAAATTAAATGATCATTTTCCATTAGTTGTTTGGTAAACAGGTTCAGGTACACAATCAAATATGAATGCTAATGAAGTTATTGCTAATAGAGCCATCTAAATTTTAGGTGGATAAATTGGTGGCAAATTAGTACATCCTAATGATCATGTTAATATGAGCTAATCTTCTAATGATACATTCCCTACTGCTATGCATATTGCTACAGTCATTTAAGTATCAATATACAATATATATTAATATAGACTAATGAAGTTTTAATCCCTGGATTATAAACACTTTTGACAAGTCTTGAAAGAAAGTCTTAAGAATTTGATAAGATTATAAAAATAGGTAGAACACATACTTAAGATGCAACTCCTTTGACTTTAGGTTAAGAATTTAGTGGATATGCCTAATAAGTAAGAAATAGTATTGAAAGAGTCAAAACATCACTTCATTAAGTTTAATATTTAGCATAAGGTGGAACAGCTGTTGGAACTGGAATTAATACATATGTAGGATTTGCTGAAGCTATTGCTGAATAAGTAAGTAAAGAGACAGGATATGAATTCAAGACTGCTCCTAATAAATTTGAAGCTTTAGCATCTCATGATGCTTTAGTAGATTTTCATGGATCATTAAATGCTGTAGCTGTTTCATTAATGAAAGTATTGATATAATATATATTCATATAGATTGCAAATGATATTCGTTTCTTAGGATCAGGACCTAGAAGTGGTTTAGGAGAATTAATATTACCAGAAAATGAACCAGGATCATCAATTATGCCAGGAAAAGTTAACCCTACTTAATGTGAAGCTTTGACTATGGTATGTGCTTAAGTTATGGGAAATTAAGTAGCCGTTACTGTAGGTGGTTCAAATGGGTAATAATATTCAAAAATATATTTAGACATTTTGAATTGAATGTTTTTAAACCTGTTATAATTCATAATGTTCTTCATTCAGTTAGACTCTTAGGTGATGCTAGTGTATCATTTACTAAGAATTGTGTTGATGGAATTTAAGCAAATACAAAAAAAATTGAAGAATTAATGAATTAATCTTTAATGCTTGTAACTGCATTAAATCCATATATTGGATATGAAAAGGCTGCCAAAATTGCCAAACATGCTCATAAACATCATTAAACTTTATTAGAGGCTGCTTTAGAACTTAAATTATTAAATGAAGAATAATTCAAATAATGGGTTAAACCTGACTCTATGATTGGTCCATAAGAATATAAACCAAAAAAATGATATAAATTATAAAAAATTAATATATTATAATAAAATATTAAGCCACAAAATTTATATATATAATTAAATAATTAATATATATGAACAGTAGTAGTAGTAGTAGAAGTAGTAGTAGTGAGGTTAAGAAGGAGAAAAAAAGAAAAAGAAGTAGATCGTAAAAAAAAGAAAAGAAAAAACAAAAAAGTAAGAAATCAAAAGAAAGAAAGTAAAAAGACAGGAAAAAGTAAGATAATAAAAAAGCTGATAAAAAAGAAATAAAAGAAAAAGAAGTTAAAATAGATATATAAAAAAAAGAATAAGATGGAGAGACTAAGGAAGTACAAAATTAAAATAGATATTAGTAAAGAATAGCTCGATTGAAATAGGAGAGAAGAAAAAGATCAAGATCTAATTCAGCTGTTAAACATTATTAGAAATAAATTTTAGCTAACAATCCAGTTGCTAAATCGAGTAATTATTTATTTAAAAATTAAATATAGATGCATTAGGTTATGACAAATAAGATCGTTTTTGGGATGGATTCACTTGGGTACCTAAAACAAATCTACATGATAAAGTTAGAGATGATAAAGAAAAAGTAATGTCATTGACTAGTAGAATGAGAAGAATTTAAATTTGTAATATTCCAACAGGTTTAACTAATCGAGATCTTTATGCTGAATTAAGTAGATTTATGAATAGAAACTATTTAAATGATGTTGGAAATGCAAAACCAATTTTGTATTGTCACTTAAATGAAAAAGACAGAACTTGTACATTAGAATTATCATCTGTTGAAGAAGCAAATAGAATGTTAAAATTAGAAGAAATTAAATTATTAGATGAATCCTGTAAGATCTTTCGTCTTGGTGATAGTTTATATGGTAAAAATAATTAAATAATCGTTTAGGTCAATCTGTGAATCAATCATAGTTAGTTTAATAAGCTCATAATATGGCATAAGCATAAGCAGCTGCTTATTTAGCATTAAAATCCCTTGGATATGCCAGAGGATAAAGAGAAGAAGATGAAATTCTGGCTTAGGCAGGTATCCCATCCAGGATTATAAAGGTTGGAAATTTCTTAAATGTTGCTATGGCAATAAATCTCAATAAAAATGAATGGAATGAAATGAAAGAGGATTTACTAGAAGGATTCTCATAATGTGGATAAATTGAAGATGAATTCTTTGTTAAACCATTTTAAGCAAGCTTAGGAGGTATTTTTTATTATTTATTATTACAGCTGAAGCAGGTTCTCTATTTCTTGTATATTCTACAATTGAGGATGCATAACGTACAGTTATATCTATGTATGGTAGAACTTATAATTAGAGAGCTCTCAAAGTTATATTTATTAATGAATAAACATACATTCGCAGTTATATTCCTTTAAAGTTAAGATAATAATTAGAAACTGAAGAAATATTAAAAAGAGAATAAGATATATATGATGAAGATGATTTTGAAGAAGAAGAAGAATATTTAGAAAAAATGGATAATGGATTAGTTATAGAAAATAATAATAATAATAATAATAGTAATAATAATAATAATAATAATAATAATAATAATAATAATAATAATAATAATAATAATAATAATAATAATAATAATAAAAAAGATAATTGATAAATTTATTTTTTTAATATTTTGTTGGAAATATATTGAATAAATCATAATTATCAATTAAGTTTACGTTTACTTTTAAGTTTTGGTTCATTTTCATCAATATTATTACTATTTTATTCATCGTTTTCTATTTATCTTAGTTTTTTAGTTTTTTTTGCTATTTTAGGTAAATCAAGGTCATCTTAGAAAACTTAATTTTGTTCAATATCTATTTGATCATCAATTTTTAAATCTAATTCATTAAGATCATCTTATAATTCATCTTGAATAGGTGAAGCTTCAGGAAGATAATAAATAACTTACTTTCTTTCTCTTTAGCCTCTTCCATATTCTTTGACTTCTTAAACTTCATTTTATTTAGATGTAATCCATTCAGGTACTTCATCTTCTTAGATTAATCTATAATTAAAATATTGATCATCTTTGTTTTCATAAAAATTCTTATAAATTAATTTTTCTTGATCATATCTCTATCTATCTAGCTCATTAAACATTTCAAATTCTTCTTCACTTCTAGCTATCCATTCATTAATTTAAGTATCATCAGGAATTTCTTCTGCTTCAAATAAATCAACTTTATTTTTTTGTCTAAAGAAATCTTATAAACGTTCTCTTCTTTCTTAATCAGTAGACCTTTAATTATATAATCCTGCTTAAATAATAACTGCATCTAAACCCATTTTATGTTCAGCTTTACTTAGAATATTACCTTCAATTTATGTAGCTGTAATTAATCTAAATACTCTAACTTCATTTTTTTATCCAATTCTATAAGCTCTATCTTATGCTTATAAATCCATCATAGGATTCCAATCACTATCAAATAATACAACTGTATCTGCAGATTACAAATTCAATCCTAATCCACCTGCTCTTGTACTTAATAAGAATATATTATAGATAGAATTTTCTTAATTAAATAATTAAATTCTAGATTCTCTATCTTCTGATTTAGTTGATCCATCTAATCTTAAATATCTCCATCCTCTATATTCAAAAAATGCTTCCATTATATCCATTAATTATGTCATTTAACTAAAAATCAATAATCTATGTTTAAAATATAATAATTTTGGTATTATTCTATCAAGTAATTCAAATTTTCCACTAGATCTCCATATTTCATCAGTAACTTTATTCATATCCAAATTTAACATAAATAAATAAGGATGATTACAAATCTTTCTTAATTACATCATCAAATTTTATAATGCTTAAGATCCACTTTTTCCTGATTATTAATCAAAGGTCATAACTCCTCTTTAATTAATTTAATCATATATTTTCTTTTACCATGCTGATAATTTGATTTTAATAACATATTCTGTTTTTCTAGGTAATTCTTTCTCTACATCTTTTTTAACTCTTCTTAATAAAAATGGTCTCAAAACTTAATGTAATCTATTAATAATTAACAATTATTCTTCTTCATCTAATTAAATATCTTTTTCACTTGCTCCCATTATATTCAATGGTGTTTAAAACCATTTTTCAAAATCTTCACAAGATGAAAATACTTTTGGTAATAAAAAGTTTAACAAAGCCCATAATTCAGCTATATTATTTTATAATGGTGTTCCTGTAAGTAATAATCTTCTATCACTTTAATATTATTATCCTAGAATCATTGCAAATTTACTCCTTGAATTCTTCATTCTATGTCCTTCATCTACAATAATATATTTCCATTCATATTTAGATAAAGTTAATTTATCTTTTAATACATATTCATAAGTGGTTAAACAAATATTCCATTTAGTTGTTCTCATCTATTTTGAAATCTCTTTCCTTATTTAAGGAGATCCTTTATAAATAATCTTTTTAATAGATGGAGCCCATTTTTCAAATTCATTAGACCAATTACTCAAAGTTGATAATGGTACAATAATAAAATATGGTCCAAAATTCTTCTTTGTTTCTATTAAATAACATAATAATGATATGGTTTAAATAGTCTTACCTAAACCCATTTCATCAGCTAAAATACCATTTAAATTATTGTTATACAAACTTACTAACCAATCTAATCCTTATAATTAATATTATTTTAATTATCCCCCTTCCAATAATGCTGGTTATTATGTTATAACTTCTTTTATTTTATGAGTAATATTATAATACACTTTATTTGCTTAACTTAATTCATAACCTAAACCATTATTAGTATTAATATTTTCAATCACTTCATCTTCTTCAGTTATTTCTTATCCTTTCTAAATTTTAACTCTCGCTCCAATATCTTTTAAAAATTAATCTGTTTATCTCAAAATAGAAACTACTCTCTCCTTCTTAGCTTCATCTAATTTCTCCAAAACCTATATATATGTCTCTAGATTTCCTCTTCTAATATGTTCCATTCTCATCTATTTATCTCTTTATTACTCTCTCTATTCTAATACAACCTTGAATTAAACACTACGTTTTCGAGCATGTTTATATTTCTTTCTATGAAATTCCATAAATTCTATCTAATGTGCAAATATTGCTGACATAAACTCTTTTTATTTAATCTTTTTCCTTCTTGCTTATTCATGTCTTATCATACTTAATTCAAATTTATCTGATAACTTACTCTCAGGTCTTCTTTAAGGTTTATCTCTCTTGAAATAATTTCTATCTAGTAATAATCTTTCAAGCATTCTTGATTACAACACTGCTTAATTTTCTTCTTACAATAATGGATTCAAGATAGACTCTTTAACTTTCAAATAAAAATCCTTTGAATTTATAAACAGTAATTCAATTTTCAAACTCACATATTTTGGATCATTTTGATGGGTTTTCTTAAGCTCCTATTCTATATCCAATCTCCTCTTCTCTATATATCCTTACATTCGTTCACTAAACAAAGACATATCCTAAATAAGTATTTCAAGAACTATACATCACAAGTCTAATCCAATTTAAGCTTTGGATATCTGTCTCTAAATATTGATTTTAGTTCCTCATTTTTATCAATTTTGTCATGAAAATATTAAATGGAATTCTGAAATATCTTTTCTCTCTCTACTTCCCACTACTCCTTGCTGTTTGGAAACATTAATTTTTCATTTTCTATGTGGTGATTTCTATAAGGTAACTTTCAATCTTACCTTTGAACTTGCTTGTAACAAATAATTTACTGCCTCAATTGGTATACTTATTTTTCATCTTAATTCTTAATAAATATAAATGAATATTTACATAATCTGCTTCTTATTACATTTTTAAAGATTTTTAAAATCTAATGCAAAAATTTTTATATTTTTTGTATAAATACTGATCATTAAATATATGTAAATTTTAATCATCTGAACAAAAAAAGCACCCATCGATTTTTGTTTCGTTTCCCTTCTTATATTTAAATCAAAAATAAACTTCTAGAAATTGTCAAATTATGAAATAAATAAATAAAATCACTATCTAACAAAAATTATTTAGATTTCAAATTAAAATAAATTTCCTTCAAACTCTCTCTTTTATAAAATACAATAAGGTTTCTCTTTCTATAAACATTATGAATTCTTTCTTTTTAACATTTTAATATCAATATTATTTCTTCATCTTTAATATTATCATATTTTATAATAAATATATTTTTCATTGATTAATAGCCCCTTAGATCTTAAATTATATGAAAAAAGAGCAATTTAAATATAGAAAATATGAATTTCACTCGAGTTTTTCTCTAATAAAAATTTTTGATGAAATAAATAATTTCATATATTTTTAAAGTCTTTAAATTGGCTTCATATATTCTAATCTGCATTGAGAGCTTAATTTATTAATTTTCAATAATTATTCTAATTGTATAATTTAAATAATCATCAGGTTCTTACTTTTTTTCAAAATAAATAATAGATATTAAATACTTTTTTTAATTATATGTTTTGACTACATTGTTTCGATAAACATGTAGCTTATTAAATTTTTATTCACATAAAACGTATCAAAATCATGAAATCTTGGTGTATTCTATTTTTTCATTTTGAAAAGATAATCTTAACTCTCGTATATTTATTTTTTTCACTTAAGATATCTGCAAACCTTTTTTAGTTTTAGTCTCTTGATTTCTTAAACCAATTATTTTTGAAATTTACCTCACCTAATGTCTGTATACTTTTAAGTTTTTGTAGTTTTGACCCTTTAGTTTATTTAATTCTAATTACTATTAAATAAAATAAAATATTTAAGTTACTCATACTTTGATATTTATTTTATATTCAGTTATTTATTATTGCTATTTTATTTTTCTCTAATTAGCTTCCTTAATAAATATACTTTTATATTTATACTATTTTTTGTTATCAAGTTATTTAAAAGATTCTTTATCAATATCCTTTTTTTATTTAACATAATATTAAAAGCACCATCTTCAATTAATATTTATTACAATTAATAAGCTTTAAATTCTATTTTATTTAGCTATTATTAATGATTAATTATTATAATTTTAAAAATAATATAATATTTATATAATATTTTATGCTGATATTCATTAAATCTCTACTTTTTTAACTTTTTCTCCTAGATCTGGAATTTCTTAAGCAATTACTTTTAGTTTATCCTTATTTTATAATAATTCAGCTGTATTCATTTTAGTACTCTTTTGTTTAACCTTACTTTGTTTTTCTTAGATTTAACTTTTTAATATATCTGCATGTCTAAGATTTACTTCTTTAATATACTAATGTAAAAATGTGATTTAATTACATCAAATTTTTTTTTTTCATGATCATTGTAATTATCTAAATCTTATTTCCAAATTTCTGCTTATCTTTTATTAAGTTCTTCTTCTTCTTCTTATTTTCTTTTTTTTTCTTCAATTTAAGAATTTAAAAATGACCTTAATTACTATCTCTAATCTAATTATTTTAACTTTTTTTTCTCTTCTTCAATTTTTTCTCTTTCATTTTACTAAATTATATTTCTTAACATTTTATCATCTTCTTATTTAATTAATTCTTTTTAATCTTTAACCACTCCTTCAGCAAACATACCCATAACTTTTTTCATCTTTTCCTCTCTTTATTTTCTTTCTAATTCTCTTTATTCTTCTAATTAATTTTATAAACTGATATATTATTATTGCATTTATGTTTCTGCTTCCTTTTCCTATTTAGCATCCTCTAAAGCTTTTTTTCTATATTCTTCATTTTCTTTCATCATTCTCAAAAAACGTTCTCTTTCTTTATTTCTTCTATTTAATTACTCTCTTTATTCCAATTCTAATTCTTCTCTAATTTTTCTTACCAACAAACTATCAAGTTCTTTTTCTCTTTTTTATTCTATTTTTCTAAAAATAAATATATATTTAACCTTCTTTATTATTCATCCCTAACTTATTTATCTCGTTGTAATTTCTCATTATATATTTTATTCTTTAAATTATCTTATTTATCCTTCTCCCTTTAATCATAAACATTCAATTAATAATGATGCAATTTCACATAAGCATCTTCATCTTATACTTCTTCTTATTTTTTATTTTATTTTTCATTTATTTATCTATCCAATTCTGATTTGATTTTCTTCTTAAATTCTTACTTTCTTATTCCTTCAAGTTCTTTTTCCTTTTTATATAATTCAGTATCAAATTTAACTAAGGTTGCCCATTCATCATCTTCATCACCTTCCATCATGTAAACTGATTTTGGTGCCTTATTAATAAAATCTTTATACTTTTGAAGATGTCTCAGAATAAACATCTTGACGTTATTATGGAAGTGATTAAATTTATTAGTTTGATTTCCTAGACTAACTACTTGGAGGCTTTTATTGTGGAATCTATTACAATTATTATTATTATGTAACTATAATATACTAAAATTTTATACCTTATGATTCCTTAATTGATTAATCTGCTTAAGATTAGGTTGTTGATCCTGCATTTTGAATTGCCTATTAAACTTATTATTTTAAATTTTTTAAAGTAACATCAGTAACTCTAGTTTTTGAGAAATACTCATTCACAATATTGGTTATAATCTAATCTCTAAAATGTAAGTTACTTATATTTTATTTTTGTTATTCTTTCCAAAATCTTTTATAAATCTTTCTAAAACTGTTTACTTTAGTTACTCTCTTTGTTATTGAATTAAAGCTTTATCAATGCTTTCCTTTTTCTTTGATTCATTAGTCACAGTACTCATGATATATTTATATAATAAAAATTAATTTAAAACCATTACTTAATATATTTGTATTTAATTAATTAAAGCGCCAATAATGGAGAAATAAAAAAGAAAAAAACATGGAGCACATAATGAATCTAAGAGTTTATGGAATTATACACTATCTCCAGGTTGGTCTTAAGAAGAAGTCAAAATTCTAAAACTTGCATTACAAAAATTTGGCATTGGAAAATGGAGAAGTATAATCTAATCAGAATGTTTACCAGATAAATCTATTGGTTAAATTTACATTTAAACTTAAAGAATGCTTGGATAATAATCTTTAGGAGATTTTATGGGTTTTAACTTTTNATACTTCTTCTTATTTTTTATTTTATTTTTCATTTATTTATCTATCCAATTCTGATTTGATTTTCTTCTTAAATTCTTACTTTCTTATTCCTTCAAGTTCTTTTTCCTTTTTATATAATTCAGTATCAAATTTAACTAAGGTTGCCCATTCATCATCTTCATCACCTTCCATCATGTAAACTGATTTTGGTGCCTTATTAATAAAATCTTTATACTTTTGAAGATGTCTCAGAATAAACATCTTGACGTTATTATGGAAGTGATTAAATTTATTAGTTTGATTTCCTAGACTAACTACTTGGAGGCTTTTATTGTGGAATCTATTACAATTATTATTATTATGTAACTATAATATACTAAAATTTTATACCTTATGATTCCTTAATTGATTAATCTGCTTAAGATTAGGTTGTTGATCCTGCATTTTGAATTGCCTATTAAACTTATTATTTTAAATTTTTTAAAGTAACATCAGTAACTCTAGTTTTTGAGAAATACTCATTCACAATATTGGTTATAATCTAATCTCTAAAATGTAAGTTACTTATATTTTATTTTTGTTATTCTTTCCAAAATCTTTTATAAATCTTTCTAAAACTGTTTACTTTAGTTACTCTCTTTGTTATTGAATTAAAGCTTTATCAATGCTTTCCTTTTTCTTTGATTCATTAGTCACAGTACTCATGATATATTTATATAATAAAAATTAATTTAAAACCATTACTTAATATATTTGTATTTAATTAATTAAAGCGCCAATAATGGAGAAATAAAAAAGAAAAAAACATGGAGCACATAATGAATCTAAGAGTTTATGGAATTATACACTATCTCCAGGTTGGTCTTAAGAAGAAGTCAAAATTCTAAAACTTGCATTACAAAAATTTGGCATTGGAAAATGGAGAAGTATAATCTAATCAGAATGTTTACCAGATAAATCTATTGGTTAAATTTACATTTAAACTTAAAGAATGCTTGGATAATAATCTTTAGGAGATTTTATGGGTTTTAACTTTTATCATATTAAAATAGGATTGTAGATTGATTTAGAAAAGGTTTGGATAGATAATAATTAAAAAAAAGGAGTAATGAGAAAGAATGGATGTGTTATAAATACTGGTGATAATCCTAATAAAGAAGAAAGAAAGTAAAGAATTGAAGAAAATAGATAAAAGTATTCAATATCTTAGGAGGAAGTAAATATAAATGTTAATTATATGAGATTAATAAAATAAAATTACCAAGATTTAAGAATGATTGTGTAGCTAAATATTTTACAATTTAAGAAATTGAAAATGATTAATTTACAACAATAGAAAAATTATAACATTTCTTTAATCTAGAAATTGAAATAGATAAAAAACTCAAAAAAATTTAGCTTGTAAAATTCAATTAAAATGTTAACATTAATGGCAATCATAATCAAAATAATCACTATGAAGAATAAAAATGATAATTTTAAATTTTGTTTATTTAGAATAAATTAATTATACAAAGAAAGTAGAATTTATTATTTATTTATTGATAGATATGAAAATATTACTGTCTATAAACTTATAGCAAAATTTAATAATTAATTAAATAAAAAAGAAAACTTATTTTTAAAGTTTATGAATTATTAAAAATTTCGTTAAAATGTGGATTTCTATTTAAAGCCTCATAAAGAAAAGTTGGAAAGTCCAAAAGAAAAATCATTCGTCTCTCCTATAAGGATAAAAACTTAATAAAGTAATTAAGAATCAGGGAACAAATAGAAAGTAATTCCTATCTAAAACATGATGGAGAGAATAAATAAGGTAATTTTGGATCAAAGAGTAAAATCTCCTATAACAACAGCAAGGAATGTTGGGTAATAAAATAAAGAGAATCATATTGAATGTTTTTTAAAGAGATAGGGTTGTTTAACCAATTATTATAAACATAAATGAGTGTATAATATATATATATAATATCAACTATTAATTTTGCTTTTATAAAATAGAATTTCCTATTTTGTTAATTAGATCCTTTTTCCTGTATCGTCAATTAAAGGATGTCCATCTTAACTAAGAATAAATCCATTTTCATCAACTTGATACATAAGTTCTTCATCTTCATCATCATTTTCATGAATTGTAGACATTCTTTAAGCTATAATAAAGTTTAATAAATACATTTCAATTAATCAAATTCTTCTTTAGTAATTTATAGATTATTTGGATCATGAACATTAATATTATCTAAACTATCAATCATCATTTACTCATTTAAGGCTTTTATAGGAGAATCTTCATTAGATTAATTAATTGATTGAATAGTATTCTTTTGAGTCATAAATTATTAAGTAATAGATGGCTAAGCAATTTATTGTAAGATTTATTATTATTATGATTTATTTTATTTAATATTTTAGATATTTGTAATATCTGTGAGTGGATGATCTGATTATATATACTCAATTTCATGAATTTCACTATTAGAATCTTTACTAGAATTAAGGATTGAACTTAGATGATCAGGAATTTTACGATTAATTAAATAATCATTAACTTATTTATTGAATTACTCATATTTCTTTATGTATTAATCATAATTATCTAAAGAATTTGTTTAATTAACAGCATGTTTTTTATATTAGTATTCTTCTAATTCGTTTTCTTTTCCTTTATATGATTATTACATTTTATCAGATTATTTGCTAGTTGATAGATTAATTTGATAAAGTTAAGATTTTAATTTTTCAATTTACACTTATAAAGCTTTAAAATCAGTTTATTCTTGCTTTTATAATTTATGAATCATTTCTCTACAAGTTTAAGTAATCTAAAAATGTAATTATTCTTTGACTTAATTGATTTATGATTAAAAATTAAGTGGTTCTTTTAATTCTTTTTTTTTTTCTTATTGTTGTTATTATTATTAAATGATAATTTATTATTATTGATGCATATAATCAATCTATTTAGTTTATTATTCAATAAGTTTTAACATTTCTTCTCTTTAATTTTTTAAAGCATTGTCTATATATAATTATAATGAATTAGAGTTTTAATTAGGTCTAATATTGGGTTAAGATTGCATAACAGGAGCGACTGGAGATTTACTTGAATTACCATCTGGTTAACTCATTAATCTAAGACTTTAAAATCCTTTTTGACAAACTTACTATTAATAAGGTATTTAATTAGTTTCTCTTTCTCTAGAAAGCTGTCTTATTTCATTATCTAATAATTTATATTTTTTAAGTCTTACGATTTTACATTTATACATATTATACAGGATGAGTTGACGGAGTTACTTATAGGAATTGAAATCTATTTGAATGTTCTAATTTCACTATAATTTATACATGAAATTATTGTATTCCGTTGCATTGGACTTGATGGAGCTGGAGAAAGTCTACGCTGTTAATTCATTATTAGTAAATTAAAATTTGAAATTATTAATTATTATTATTGTATATTCATAAAAATACTATTATTGATGTTTCCATTTAATTAATTTAATGAGAATTTTAATTACCAATACTCAAGATAATAAATGTAAATATCCAAGGTTACTTGCTAAAGATAGCTCTGAAAATCAATAGGTTAAATTCTAAAAAATTGAATTTTACAATAAATTATATAAGTAACTCAAACCTAGTGTAGTTTTAAAGTGTTTACATAAAGCTAATAATGCTATTCATAGTTATTAGTTAATCAATATTTCAGATGATTTACCTAAACAAAGAAGAAAAAGTGAAAATGAAGGGTGGATTTCTTAAAAAATTGTAATCAATTCAGTTTATTCTCAAGTTGAATATTGACATTAAATATCCCAGAACTATAATTTAATAACATCAATTTCTATTTAGAGTTAAAGATTTAAGAAGAAGAGCAATCAAAGGAAGGATGAAGACTAAATTTCAGAAATCCGTCCAGAAGATAGATACACCTACTACTAGTTAATTTAATCCCTTAAATAATCATCATACTTCTAATAGGGATTCTTATTTTTCTAGTATGTAAGATATAAAAGTTCACAGAACATTTACCAGAGATCGCATATACTACTAACGAACATTAGAAAAAAAAGATTCTGATCTAATATCAGACTCACCTAGTGAACCTAGTATTTAATTACAATAAACAAGAAAACATATCGTTTTTCCTCCTAAATAAAAATAATATGTTTTACTTTAATTAAATAAATACAAACATAAACCTTTTGAATAAATAAAAAGAGATTCCATCATCAAATATCTTTCAGAAACAAAGGAAACTCATATTCAAACTGCTCCTTAAACAGCTCCTCTATTTTAACATAGACTATAACCTTATTTTTCCTATCCTAAGAAAGTTAATCTAAAAAAATCTTGTTTCACATCTTCTTCTTAAAGAGTAAAAACAATAATGTGATGATATTTGTTTGATCATAAATATATAAATATAAAATAAGTATCAATTATAATGACTTCTACTTGTCTTACTACCAATAATATTTTTATTTCGTTATTTCACATTTGCATATCCACAAGTGCTTTAATAATATAGTATTTAGATATTACTTTATACTATCTAAAGAATTTCTGTTAGATGCAATTGAATTACGATCACATGTAACTATAACTTTATCAAATTTTTCTATAAAACTTTATTTTACACTATTGCAAGTTATCTTATCAAGATTCTTCAAACTTGTCTTTTAAACAGGATCATGTTTTTTTACATCTTTATAGAAATTAATAATTTCATCTTGAGTGCATTAACTAAGATTTAATTCATTATTTGAAGGAGCAAATTCTTCATCAGAGCTGGAACCTTGTTTTTTTAAGATTTCTTAATATTTAATTCTTGAATCGATTAAATTAATACTTTTTTGCTTCTTCTATTTATACTTTAGCTTGCATATCAAATTTTACTAAATAATCTTAGATGTTATTTTTTATGATTTATCTATATTTATTTAAGTTTCTATCAATATGTGAATCTCTTAAAGCAGTACTTTGATATTTGTCTGACCAAAATTCAGGGCAGTGAATGCGACCACTATTAATTAAAGTCACCTTATGTTTTTGAGGTTTTAATGGTTCGAATTTACGTTTTCTATATATTGCAATAGTATCCTTTCTATCTTCCAATGCCTTGTCTTTTAAAAGAAACTGTATATAGGAATTTAATATTAAACCGGTAATGAAAGCATCATGTTAAAGTTTATTTTTCGTTTATTGGCTAACTATTATAGAGTAAATTATTCTATTGGAGGCAGCATGCTTAACTATGATTTCATAATCTCAGAATTATAAGTAAAATCTTCTTACATGTATAAATTTAATATTATAAAAGGAAAGTGGTAAATAAAAAAATTAGAAAATTATATATTTATAACCTGAAGAACTTATTTATTAATTCATTCAATATTGTAAACCATTTAAATGATTTAATTGGACATCAATAAATAATTATTATTATTTAAAATAAAATTATCAGAATAGAATGGAAATTGGAGTTTAAAAATAAACAGATGAAGAAAAGTAAGCATAACCAGCGTAATTCAATAAATTAGACGATAGTGGAGATAAAAAACAAACAGGATATTGTGCATTCTTAACAGTCGAGTATATTTATAACATTAAAAATAGATATTATACTCCATATTTCAATGTTACAGAAACAGATGTAATATCAAGAATTAAAGCAACATTTTTACCTTTTAAACCAGATTTCATTAATTAAACTAAAGAGAATCCTGATTTGTATTAATTATAGATTAATTAAATAGATGGGGTCCAATATGGATTAATGCTACTCTAATTTTTATGATTACAGCTATAGCAAATTTAAGGTAGGTTGATTCTGAAAAAGAAAATTAATCATTTGATGTTGGTTATGTACCTTAAGCAACTGCTTTGTTGTATATTATTGCATTTGGAACTCCAGTTATTTTAGCTATTGTGATGAAAATCTTAGGAGTAGACTTGAGTTTCTTCTAAACTATTTGTTTATATGGCTATTCCATGTCAACATTGTTACCAATCACTATTCTATGTTATTTTTAGAATGAATTATTTTTATGGCTAATTATAACATATGGAGTTGGAAATTCAATATTGTTCTTAATTTTTAATTTGAAAGAGTAATATATATAAACTAATATTAGAGAATTAGATAAATTATAGATCCAAAAGAAGTACATAATAATTGGCATAGTAATAACAATGTAGTTATCTCTCTATTTATTTTATAAATTGGTTTTCTTTTCATATGTATCAGAGGGAAAGGCAGAATCTACAAGTGTTACAAAAGATACAAAAGTGCCAGGTAATTGATTTTAAAAAATAATATTTTATCTGATAAAATAATAAATTTAATACTTATTCATTAAAATTGGTGAATGTACTTTAATAAAATTGTAATTTTTTTGGATTAGTTTTTCTAAAATAGAATGTTATAAAATGATTAAAATAATCTTTTTTAAGTAACTAAAGACATTTGAATGTTTAAGATAGGATTGAAATAGTTATAATGATGAAATAAGGTTAGAATAAAATAAGTAGAAAAAGTATGTTAGTAAAGGAATTGAAAAAGATTTGATTAAATATAATATCTAATGTATAAAAGAAAATGTTCAAGATATAAGTAAAACTTAATAAAATAAAAAATTAAAACCTAACCAACAAATGTCTGGACATTAAATAATTACACAACCATAGAGTCGTAGTCAATATTAAAGCAACAATAATATATTGTCAGCTTAACCAATTCAATAGCAATCACAGAATCCTCTAAATTATCCAAGTAATGCAATACCTGCTCCTTTCATGCCAGCTCCAATAGGTTAATAATAATAATTCTAACAATCTCAATATTAATAGCCAAAACCTATGGAAAACACAGTTAGATATTAATAATAATAACCTGAAACTCATTGTCCATTTTGTTTGACTTGTTAATAACATAAGAATGATTTATTATCAAAATAATAGGATTAGTAGAAAGCTAAACCTTAAGGAAAAAGTAATTTTCCAGAGTATGAATATGGTGTTTGTCCTGATTGTGAAGAGGGAACACAAGAAGGAGATCCAGAAGATGATATTGGAAAAGAAAATTAGAAACTTCGAGATGATATTGCGGCAAAAGCTAAAGCAAATAGAAAATTAAGAAATGATGTAGCTAGATTATAAACAGAATTAGATAGAATTAAACATTTACCAGAAGAAAATGAAAAATTAAAAGCTATGATTGGTCCATTAGAAGATTAATTGAGAGATGCTAGACATAAAAATTAAGATTTACTTGATGATAATAATAAATTAGGAAATGTATTTAAATAGTTATATAATATTAGTAAGTCAAAGATTTAAGAAATAATATAGATAAAGCTAATAATGCAGCAAAAGATAATGATAATTTAAAGAAAGAAATTGATGATTTAAAAAAGAAGAATAAAGATAATGATAAAGTTATTGAAGAGAATAATGATTTAAAGAATAAATTAAATAGATTAAAAGGTGATAGAGATAAAATGTTAGCAGATTTAGCAGCATTAGAAAAATAGAATGGAGCTATTAAGTAATAAATAATTAAATTATCAGAGATAAATTGGGTAAATTAGCTAAAGATAATAATGATCTTTAAAAAGATTTAGGAGATTTAAAGAAAATTAATAAAGATTTAGAAAAGAAATGTAATGATCTTTAATTAGATAATGATAATTTACATTTGAATTTAGGAGATGTTAATAAAGATAGAGATAAAGCAAAAGATTAATTGAATGATTTACATAAAAATAGAAATTAATTACTTGATGAATTGGGTAAAGTGAGAGATAAATTAAAAGATGCAGAGTATCTAAATGATTATTAAATTTAATAGAAAAGATAAAGATGATTTAGGTAAAAAGTTGAATAATGTATAAAATGATGCAAAAAAGGCAGGTGATGTACCTAAATTGAAAAGACAATTAGACAATGCTTTATTAGAATTGGATGATTTAAAGGCTGAAAAATAAGAATAAGAGTAATTATCAATATATATATATTTAGTTAACATTTAAAATAAGTTCATGATGACTATAATAAGGCTTTAAAGATATTAAAAGATAATGGTCTTTTAGGTTAATTGGACCCTTCTGAATAATAACCAACATAAAAATAATAACCAAATGCTAATGGACAATTAGGTCCAAATGGTTAGAATCAAACATACAATCCTAATAATTAATAACCTTAATATGGTCCAAATGGATAACCACTTTATGGTCCAAATGGATAGCCTTTATTTGGACCAAATGGATAACCATAATATGGTCCAAATGGATAACCATAATATGGACCAAATGGTTAACCACTTTATGGACCAAATGGATAACCACTTTATGGTTAGAATGGATAACCTTTATATGGACCTTAAAATGGATAAATAGTTTATGGACCAAATGGATAACCTATTTATGGACCTAATGGTTAACCAATCTATGGTCCTATAGGATAATATGGACCATCAGGTTAATAAGTTAATAGTGCATATTTAGGAACTCCTAATTAAATTTCATAAAATAAAATGGGTAATAATCCCATGAATCAATCTAATTAATGGGGAGGTGTAAGTGGAAATTAAGGTAGACCTTCTTATGAAGAACTTATGTTAGACAATATTAGAATGAAGAAATGCATTGATTAGTTAAACTATGATTTAAAAAATAGTAAAAAATGATTTATTTAATAAACATCCACACATATTCATTTTCTAATTCATTAAATACCTTTTTCTTTTATTCATCATCTTTTTAATAATTACATATTTAATAAATTTATCACAATTTCTATTCAACAACTATTACAATTAGATGTTGGATACTCTGCTTGAGTTTATCTCATAATTCAACTTAAACTAACTAGAGTATGTATCCATATTATTTTAAACTTTTCAATTTTCATTCTCCAATCTAATCTTTAGATTTTGACCCAATCTATCGAAAATATCATCTATGTATACAATACATCTTTGAACATATATTCTTATTCTCTAAAGCACTTGTTTCTATGAATGACATATTATACTTTTAAACCAACTTCACCTGGTAATACTCTCCATTCTTATAAATCTAATTTATTAACTACCAATATTTAACAACTATTATTTTATTTATTTCACATATACACTTCATCAATTGAACTCTCTAAAATCGATTTAATTCAACCTTCTACATTTTTAAAAGAATTTCTATCTATCAAAGAATAATCAAATATTATTCCAAATGCTCCTTTTTAATTGTTTATCTAATATTTTTAAAACAATCCTATCCAGATGTGTCCCATATTTATAATATTATTTTTTTATCTTAAACCTCATATATAAAGTACATTAAGAATCTTTATTTTAAAATCAACTCCTATTGTTTCCTTATAGTTTTAAGAAAATTTTGAAGAACGAAATTATGTTAATTTATTTGTTTTAACAACTCTTGAATCAACTAAAATAATCGCTTTCACAAATCAATCATAATATCCTAAAGAATTTTAGAATTTTTTATTATAAATATTATGTAAATTGGAAATTAATTATTCTCTGGAAATTGTGTGTTTTAGCGAAATAATTTTAAAAATAATACTTCAATTATTAAAAATTATAAATAAATATATATACAAGAATTTAATTCTTAAATTAGATTATAAATCTTAATAAATTAAAGATTAATTTTATGGGGTGCACTTCGCAAAAATAATCATCTCCACCTAAGAGTAGAAATGATGAAAGTATTACGACTGGATAACTTGACTCAAAATTCACATAAAATATTATCACTTTAAAATATTCAAACTAAAAATTAATTGGATAAAAGATTAAATCAGGAAAGTATTATAATTTACTTCTAAATCATGTTATTCTTCAAAAAGACATATGTAAATATCTTAAATTATATTTCTAGTGAATAGTACAATCATGATTAGACGGTAAAAAAATCAAGAAAACTTACCTTCCAAAAAAGATTATGTGACAAGCTCTAATGGCTGTAATTGATTCTATAAATTATATTGACTTAAGTTAACTATACTTAAATATTAAAAAGAACTCTTTTTTGAATTTCTTGTCTTCATGTAGATTTGAAGCATTTTAAAAATTATTTGTATAATCTAAAGCATTATTAAGGTTGTGCAAAACAAAATACAATTTTTCTTTACTTTAACAACCTCATAATAAAAAGAATTAAGAGTAATGTTTGGTTTAAATGTTTAATAATAAGTTTAATATATTTAATTACAAAAGTGAGTTTTATAATAATTTATTGTAAATTGGGATTCTTATTATTAAATTACTGTTAGGGTGATTTTGGTTATTGTAATTGAAGCTAGAAATCTAAAAGAGAAATCCTTTTAGTTTTTCAATACCTTATCAATTCTCATTTTGAATAATTTTTGTTGAAAGAAAAAAAAAATAAAAAAAATTATCATTAATGTATTTTTTTTTAAAAGAAAAATAAATAGATTATTTGTTTCTAAGTGTTTTTGTATTAGTTTATATATAATTAAAAAACTCAGTTCATAAGGTTTATATAATGATTAAATAGGGAATGACCATTTTAATTTAAACTATCATTAAAATAATATGAACTCTGGATTGAACAACTAAAATTCTTTATTGTAGCAACTAACTCCTGCTTAACTTGAGGAATATTCACAACAGTTTAGGTATGATTATATACACATTTCAACCTTATTGTATAACCTGATTAGCTTTTATAATACATTCGGCAATTAATTACTTATTTTAGATAATAGCAATTTTTGAGTGCTTTCCTGAATCTTAAGACATTAGTATTTCCAGGCTTATTCTAACAATTTTAAGAGAATACCAATAGAACCCCCCAAGCATCAGATCTGTTAAATAGTAATTTTGGTAAGATATAATCAAGTTCATCTTTAATTATGATCTAATGACCTTATAGTTTTTTTAATTTACCTTATTTTATTGTAGGTTTTGGAAGTGTGCCAAATTAATTGGATTATTCAAAATTATTACAGAAAAGCCTTTAGATGACAAATGCAGCTTCTTTGAATCCTTATCTATCTAATTAATTGTTTTGTTAAGTAGGATTAGGGAATTAAAAGAAAACTAATAATATTCATAATCCAATTACTGTTGAAGATGATGAACCATAATAAGTTTAGAAATGTCACAATTAAAAATGCAATAATAAAGGTGATCGAAAAGCTAAATCAAAAAACGGTGATGCCCTTTAATTTTGTGAAAAATGTTTGAGATTATACACTCGTGGAAATTATTGTGATTTTTGTGAATAGGTATTAAGAATTAATATAGAATTTCTTTAGGTATATACAAATGGTATTAATGATTAAGATGAATAAGAATGGATATAATGTGATATTTGTGAAAAATGGGTAATCTTTTAAATAATTTTAAAGAACCACTTAAATTGTGAAGCTAAATTTAGGAATCAAAACATTAAAGAAGAAACTGAAAATAAAGTTTATCATTGTTTAAATTGTTCTAAATCTATAAAGAAACAATAATAATAGACAAATAATTCTCAATAGCAAAAGAAATAGGAAAAATCTAATGAAGAATATTAACCTAAATAGAGATAAATAATAGAATGTGAGGATAATAGAATAAAAGAAAAAAACATTAATTTTGTAGCAACTAAAGATAACAAAGTTTAATTTAGTAAATTAAATTATTTATAAATTTATTAGCATTCAGATTGAATCTGTATGAGGATGAAATTAAATAAGATTTAGATTTTCTTCGAAACGCTGGAAAAAAATTGATAAAGAAGTAAAATTAAATAGATTCTCCTTAAATGAAAATTAATACTATGCAATATTAATAATTATAATAATCATAATAATAATAAGATGAGAAGGTAGTAATTCTATATATTTTAAAATAGAATTCTGAATTTTAAGTAAATAATAGATTGAGAACAAGACCAAATAATAAAAATAAAGTGAATTACAGATATTTAGGGGGTGAATGAATAATAACAATTAGTATATGAAATTGAAATTTTAATTTAAATATCACTTATTAAAAACCAAAATTAAAATAATGTCTAATTTGAGGTTTGATAATAAAGTTGTAATAATAACAGTAGTAGGTCTAGGTTTTGGAAAATAGTATGCATTATTTTATGAATCATTTGGAGCTAAAGTTTTAGTATATTAACTATTCTTCTAAATCCTTAATCTCTCCTAATAGACTAAACTGCTTTAATCACAGAAAATGTTCCTTATATTTAAGTCTATTTAGTGAATCAGGATTATTAGGATCTTTAAGATAATCTAATTATGCAGCAGCTAATGCAAGAATTATTGGACTTACATTAACTTTAGTTAAATTGGGAGAAAGAAGAAATATATTATGCAATGTTTTAGTTCCTATTAATACATCTAAATTAATTTATGAATCGATTGATAAATTTAATGGAATTAATTCAAATAATTTTATATCCATATGTTATATTTCTATTTTATTCTAGTAGCTGTTTTAACATATGAAAACAAATAAAGATTATAATGGAAACATATATGAATCTTAAGGAACCTTTTTCTCAAGATTTAGATCATAAAGATCTCAAAGAGTTTCTTTAGATCTTCCTGTTTAAATAACTGAAGCCTAAAGAAATTGGAATAAAATTAATGATTTTACAGAAAAAAATGAATATCATACTGGAAATGCAGATTTATTCAAAAAAAGTTTAAGAAAATAAAGAAAGTTTAGAATAGCAATCATCACAAAAAACAAAATTGTGAATTTTTATTCTTCATACATAAAAAATGTGAGTTTAATATTGAAGTAATTTTTTATTTTTTCTGAAACTATGTAAAATATATATAATAAAAAGAATATAATCTAATAATTTAATTTATGTCAGCAACAAAAATATATTACGTACCTGAACCTTTGAAACCTTCACCTAATTATAGAGAAATTGTCAAGTAGTGAAAAGAATTTATATAGAAAATTAGTAGATTCTAGACAAGAAGATAAATAAAAAATTGATGAGTATTTAGATCATTTTTAACCAACGATTGATGAAACAAGAGAGAAACAAGATTAGTATTTAGGCAAAAGGTGTTTTTTCTAATTTATTATTTCAGATATCGATCAATTATGTAAGCTCTTGAGCGGGCAAAGAATAATTTAATCAAGTATAATTTATCTTTGTTGGAATTACAAGATAAAATTGAAAAAAGTGTAGAAATAAGAAAAGTACTTGAAGATGTTAATAACTATAAAACCTATAGTGAAGCATTAACAGAGAATATT